TTCCGCTTGTGAAACTCAGCTTTCTTTTCAAGAACGGCCACCATGGTAGCCATTTCGATCAACTCAAACAGGTCGTCTTCCTTCTTCAAACTGTATTTTGCCCGGAAAATGTCTTCTAACTTCATGCCTCTACGTGCCGCCATTCTTGAACGTATGTGGGAGTGTGGAACAATACTTACTTAGGTTTCCAAAAACGTATGATTGCGTTAAGTTTGGTTAATATCCTACTTATAAACAAATACGTAGTAGTTAGGCTGGAATATCCCAGCCAATATTGGCTTTGGATGTGGTTTTTTTTTTTTTTTTTTTAATAAATTAAGCGGTGCCGGGGCAGTTTTTGTATTATTTAATTTTTTTTATTGTTTTTCTTTTATTTTTTAATATTTTAATATTATTAATAATGTTATTTCAATATGTTGGGTCCACTTTTGAATGTTGATTAGAGTTGCATGAATGTAGTGTGAATCAATCGTTATACCCTACACCACGGCGCACATATCACTGTGCGCCGCACGCCTATCGTTTTGGGGTCGTTTTGGGAGGCGCAGTAGGAAGTTGCTGGGATTATGTGTATTTGTTCACAAAGTTATGTGTATTTGTTCGTACAGTTATGTGTATTGGTTCATACAGTTATGTACATTCTTTTTATACAATTATGTACATCCGAATCAGAAAATTTGTGTGTATTATGTAAAGAGTTGATGTGTATTATGTTAAAAGTTTATGTTTATTATGTATTATGTTAGATTATGTGTATTATCTTTTAAAAAGAGTATGTATATTTTGTTATATAATTATGTACATTCATGTATACAATTATGTGTATTCTAGTATAACATTATGTACATTCTTGAATAGCGAGTTTTTTTTTTTTTTTTTTTTTTTTTTTTTTTTTTAAAGAAAAAACTACTGCCATTCACTGGGGCGGGAAATTAAAAAAAAAAAAAAAATTAAAACGACGTCGTTTTGCATCTGGGCACATAGTGCAACGCGCTCCGTGGTGTAGGATATAAATTGCCAGTGTGAATAATAGATGATTTGCAAATAAGATGATGTGAAAGTGAGATCACTTTTTAGAGTGGGAGACATTTGCAGGGATAATGTTAGCCTTAATATTTCAAATCAATTACTTGTCTGTAAAGTTATCTAAAAAGATTTTAAAATAATTAATTAATTAATTAATTATGATAATAATAAAACTAAACTAATTTTAGGAATAAAGTTCAAATTGGCCACGGAACGAAATACAATTAGGTCACTGAATGATAAAAAAATTCAATTAGGTCATTGGACACTCTAAAAAAAGTGCAATTTCAACTGATAGCAAGTTACCATCCATTTCAGTAGGTTACCTACTTACGTGACAGCTGAATTGACATTTTTTATCACTTTTAATAAATTTTAATAATAAATTAAAAAAATTAAAAAGTTTTTTTTTTTTTTTTTTAAAAAGACGGAGTGGTCGACCCCCTCCCCCTTCCTTTGTTTCCGCCGGAGACGAAGGAGGGGAGAAGGGGGTGGCATGAGACGAAGGACCTGTCTACGTCTCTGACCGGAGATGAAGATAGGTCCTTCATCTTCGTCTTGACGAAGACGAAGGAAAGGGGAAAGGGGTCAGCCACCCCGTCTTTTTTTTTTTTTTTTTTTTTTTTTTAATTTTCTTTTTAAAAGAAAATTATTAAAAATGATATTAAAAAAAAAAGTCAACTCAGCTACCACGTAAGCAATTAACTTGCTGAAATTGATGGCAACCTGATATCGGTTAAAAAATTGTATACATTTGAAGTGTTCAATGGCCTAATTGTACTCTCTTTTTTTTTTTTGCATTCAGTGACCTAATTGCATTTTCAGGTTACGTTCAGTAGCCAATTTGAACCTTTTGCCCTAATTTTATTACCAATGACCAGAAAATCCTATAAAGACTTAAAATTAAAATTTTCTATTTTCTATGATTTTCCTCTTTGAAGTTTTAACCCCATTTTCCCTCCATTAAGGGATTCAATTGTATTTTGAACTTGTTGAAGGTTAGCCATACTTGGGACAGAACCACAACAACATTCATGGGAAACACTTCAATTAACACTAGAAAATATGACTCAAATAGTCAAATATTCCTCAACTTCTACCAAAAATCTCTACAAGAGCAAGCTCCATCTATAAACTTGTGAAACCGAACACGGTCTCTAACAATGATTTCCCTGTTGTACAACCTACTAATGATCTTTGTCACTTCATGGCAATCCCTACAAACTCTCAGATTCTTTACAACTCTAATCACTGTTGGTACTTCGGTTCTCAAAAGACCATACGCTATAGCCAGTCTCTCGCTGTGTTCACAGAGGGCGTGCTCTTTCTCTTCATCGCTTGTGTCGTGTAGTACACCTGAAACCCAGGGTTCATGTCCTGAACCACGTACTCTATCCGAGATTTCGCTCAAGATCCCTTTTAGTTCCTCAGCTTCGGGATGAGACCAGTCGCCCATCACGAACTCATGCACAAAGCCATCAACTTCAATGGAGCTGCAGCCTGGGACAGTCTTGATGTCTCTGTCCTTCATCTGTTTCCTCACTTCTCGCATTCTTTCCCAATCTGAAACTGAAGCGTAGAGACTGGATAGTAGGGTGTAGTTTTCTGCATTCTGGGGTTCTAGTTCGATAAGGTGTTTGGCTGTGACTTCACCTCTGTCAAGAATCTTTTTCTTCTTGCATGCAACGAGTAAGCTGCGCAGTATTGCCGGATTTTGAGGGATTGGCATGGACTCAACGAAAGAATAGGCGTCTTCTATCAAGTTTGATCGGCAGAAAAGATCAACCATCAATCCATAATGCTCCAAAGATGGCTCAATCCCAGACTCAATCATGCTTGACCAATACTTCTTTCCCTCATGAACTAATCCACTATGAGCACACGCCATTAAAACACCAACTAAAGTAACGTGATTAGGCTCCGCCTGACCATTCGAAAGACATTATCGATAAGCCACCGAACCCCAGCACAGATATAATTGAAGGGTAGAAGGGTGGACTCAACTAAAAATCTAAACTGATAGTGAGACTATATATTTAATCAAACGTATGAGTTTTCATGCATAACAATTAACAAGGCATATGAAATTGTTAAAATTTTGTAAGAGAAATGGAAATTAAAGTACTTATCTTTGTTATTGTATTACCTTAGTTTCTCCCATTCTGGAAAAGGCATTCAAAGCATCTTCTGCTAGGCCATTAATGGCCAATCCATATATCATGGAGCCCCAAGCCTTGACATCCTTCACAGGCATAGCTTCAAAGACTTCCTTTGCCTTTTCAACGCATCCACATTTTGCATACATGTTGACAAGTGCAGTATTAAGTTCAAGATCATTCTCAATTCCCTTCTTGTCTATGTAAGCATGCAGCCATTTCCCCAAATCTAAAGCCCCAGATATGGCACAGGCAGAGATGGCGCTCACCAGTGTCACCCTATCAGGCGAAATGCCGGCCTTCTGCATTTCCCTGAACGAATCCAAAGCCTGATTGGCCATCCCGAGCCTGGAATACCCACTGATCATCGCGCTCCAAGCGACCACATTTCTCTCAGGAATTTCATCGAACACCTTCTCGCTCAGCTCAATCTCCTCACACTTGGCGTAGAAATTCAGCAATGAGGTCTGAACGAAGGGGCTGGATCCATGCCCAGACTGTACAACATGCTTGTGAACCTGTTGGCCTTCTCTAAACGCCATCAAAACCGAACAAGACTTGAGAACAAAGGCGAGGGTGAAAGTGTTTGATCTTGGGTAGTTTTTCCTGAGCAGTCTCTTGAAAATGAAAATGGGTTCAGAAGATGATGTTTGAGACTCCAAGAACCCTCTGATGAGGGAATTATAAGAGTAAATTCCTGGGCTTGGGATTCGGGAGATGAGCTGCTTCGCATAGCCCAGGCTGCCGCGCGACGAAAGAGCGGCGAATGTGAGGATCTTGGCGAGAAGAAAGGAGAGGGAAGAGGTAGAGAGAAGCGGGCAAGTGAGGACATGGCCATGGATTTGGTGGAGAATTCTGAGATTCGGACATCTTTGAATCAGTGTAGCAAGTCTTCTTTCTCCTTCTTCTTCCAGCTTTACTTCTCTCTGGTTTCCTCTTCAGGTTTTGCAGGCCTAACACTCTTTCGCCTTACTCTACTTTTGGCATTCGAGTTTACAACTTAATACTTAAATTCCAAATGTTTATTTGATTATAGTTTGATTTATATAAGAAAAAAATTATCAAATACGTCACTAAATTTTATTACTTTACTCAAAAATTCAATTAAGTTCTTAAACTTTCAAAAGATCAATTAAATTTATAAACATGTTATTTGGAAGTATTGAAGTCTAGAAACTAATTGATAACTTATAGTTACATGTTACCTAGGATTCCGGTGATTATTCCTACACTTTTCGATAATAATCACTGACGATCAGACGGTCGTCGATCACGTTTGGAGGAAGCGACCAACTGGTCTGCCTTCGATCTCTTCGCCTGAGAAGGCAGTGACTAAGCTAGTCGCCTTCTCCAGTCGCCTGAGAAGGCGACCAACTGGTCTACCTTCTCCTTCACCGTAGAAGCTAAGGCGACCAAGGCGAAAGAGAAGGCACACTAATTTGCCGAAAAGTGTAATTATATGTTATCGACCAATTTTTAGGCTTTAATACTTCCAAATAACATGTTTATGGGTTTAATTGTAACTTTTGAATATTTAAAAATTTAATTGACATTTTGAGTAAAGTTTATGATCGACCTTTATAAAATAAAAGTATAGAAACTACAAAGAAAACACATTATCATGACCAAAGACCGTGATCAAACGGCATAAGACATTGATTCTTTGTACTTTAATAACTTGAGAAAGTATGATATTATAACAAAAGTCATTAAAAAAAACACATTATCCTTTGTTTACATATGCCATTATATATGTACATATACAAGCAATTCCAACAGATCTACTTACAGAGTTACAGACAGTACACTAGTACAGTTTCCCCATTTATACATAAACCAAGAAAGAAAGAAACACGCCGCCGGCCGCCGGCCGCCGGACAGCAAATAGATATATACAACGTCGTGGTGGTGGTGCTTCTATGCAGTTGGATAAGAAGAATCCATGGCAATCCCACAGAGCCCATGCTTAGCAGCAATGTCTCGTTCCATTCTGATGTACCCCTCCTCTCCCCAGCTCGTCCCCCACGAGTTTTTCACCACCCAATACTTAGTCCCGTTCGCGTCCTTATCGTACCCGACGGCGGTGACGCCGTGGTCGAGCATGGTCCCGCACGGCCCGGTGAACACCCCGCTCTTGTAGAACTGGAAAGAGAAGTCCCCGGCGTCAATCGAGACGGAAACCGGCTGGTTCGCCACCGCCTTGAGCAGCGCCGCCTCGTCGTTCTTGGGGACCTTCTCGAAGCCGGAGATGCGCGCGGCGGCGGAGGCGGCTTCCTTGGCGTTGCATTTGCCGTCTGCGGCGGTGTACGGGTATGTGGATTCCAAGGCGATGCCTTTGTTCTTAATTATGAATTTGAAGGCGTCCTCCATGTATCCTCCCTCGCAACCTTCATCCTCGCCTTTGACGACGTCGCAATCCACCAGTTCTTGCTCCGATAGGGAGATCAGCTTCTTGGTCGTCAGCTGAGTTATCCCTTCCGTCGCTGCTATGGCAGAAAACGCCCAACAACTCCCTGCAAATAAACATCTTAATTCAAATCAAATTCAATATAATAAGATATAAAAGTCATCAACCAAGGGTTAATGAAGCTCTTAACCGTTAATGAAGCTCTTAACCGATAATTATAAAGTTACAAGTTTGATTTTTAGTGATTGCGGCCTATTAGCCTTCTTGATTTGAACTAATTAGCTATATTCAATATAGATTAATTTACCATGCACTATATAATTATTTGCTGTCTAAGTTACTAGACAAGATTTATCTCGTGCTGACCTAACCAAGATCAAGAAAAAGATAGGGTTGAGACAAACCTAGCCAAATTGGTAAGATTGTTCGATTTGATAAATTAAGTTATAAGTTTGATTTTCAGCTAGGGCTGTTTATTAGTTTTTTTGGTTTGGACATGTAAGCTATAGATAACCTAAGCCTAGAAAAAGATGAGTTAGTTTGGGAGCAACGACCCTAACCAAGTTGGTCATAATGTAACAAGTTTAACTCTTCACGAGAACAGTCTATTGATGCTGGGCAACCTAGGCTGGTTTTTCTCACTGACCGAACACTTACCACATTGGCCTTGGTCCTTAACAGGTGTGACAGCACCTTTCTTCCTCCAATCCATGCTAGCCGGAACATCACTCACATTTTCATATTTAAACCATGCGGTCTCTTCCTCTACTCTCGGAAGAGACGGCAATTTGTACCCATTCCGAGCAGCTCTGAATTCCTCATTGGTCTGGTCTGCAAACTCGTTGATTCCCAGCTTATAGGGCCGATTCCCGGCCCTATTAAAACCCTCAATTCGCTCCATGTTCTCTTTGAATATCTTGAACCGCCTTTCCTTTTCCGCCTCGTCTGCATACACTCGTCCATAGCGCACCATCCACCGCTCGTGCTTCCTCATCGCGGTTGCCTCGGCAAGGGGACGGGAAGCGGCTTGACAGGCCAGAATCCCCAGAACGGATAATAAGATACACAGTTTCAGTGACAGTGCAGAAGGAGCCATCTTTGATTGATGTTGGTGATTCAGAGATGGCAATCGTGTATGTAGTTCTTGGAAAGTAATGGTATATATAGATCGTGAAAATGCATGGAATTATGGAAATGTGTTTCTATCAAACTTGGAGGGGAAACCACTTTCTCTAGCTGTACTTTGCCGTGCAAAATGCGATGATTTTGATAATTCTATAAAATTATGGAACATTATATATATTCCTGTCGTTTACAATTGACTTCATCCTAAAGTACAACAATATAATGCAAAGACAGTTTTTGTTCTAGCAATGTTGCCCTTTTAAAACATAGTGTGAAAACAAAATATCTCATCAAGAAAATTCGAAACTACGTGAACATGATTTTTTTATGACGAACGTTGCGTTCAAAGTGGAGTAACATTGACATATACACGGCCTCTATTTAATTTATTTTTACTTTCATTTTTGCCCTAGTAGTTTATAATAATAATAATAATAATAATAATAAGTACTCATGAGAGTAAAAATACTTTTTGATGCTTAAGATCAGTTAACTATGCCAAAGACCTTGAGGTTTAATGGCACCAAGGGGATCTCTCGTATGAGAGGTCATGAGTTGAGAAAGTAGTTATGAACAGGTACTGCATTACATTTTAACAGAGTCAGAAGTACTCAAAAAAAAAACATTTACATTTTCTTTTAATTTCTCGTGTTTATTTACATTTTAGAAAATTATCTTTGTGTATTTGGTTCATTTTCTGAAAAATAATCAAAATTGTATAATTAAAATTTTAATTATTATTAACTGAAAAAGATTTGACAACAAAAGTATTGGTTTCTACCAATGTTGCAAAAAACGTTAGGCGCCGATTTTTTATTTTTTATTTTTATTTTTTTAAATTATTTATTTTTTAAAAAAATTAAACTAAAAATTGTAAAATTCACTAATAAAACATAAGGTTCTTCTAGTTTTTCTTACAAATTATTTACGCAAGTGGTTGTAAAATCGTTCAAAATATTGTTGAAACCATCTAAATACATAAAAAAATTAAAATTAAAAATTAAAATTAAGAGCAAAAGAAGTATTTTTTGGAGAAAGTTATGAAAAAATACGCGATTTCAAAAAAAATTGTCCAAAACGCAAAAAGTTCTGTCTTTCCAAACTTTTCACACTTTACAACACAAAAAAAAAAAAAAACACAAAAACACAAAAACACAAAAACAAAAAAAAAGGCCGATTCAGCTGACTAGGCAGTCTAGGCGACTGCTTAGCCGGCCGGCCGTGGAGGAGGCCGATTCCGGCCTTCCTTGCAACGGCCGGCAGGCCTAACGCCTAAGCGCCGATTAGGTGCGATTTTTACAACACCAATCTTTTTTTTTTGACAAAAATCAGTACAAACCAGATTGGTTTCGTCAGAAATCAGTAGAAGACAGGCTGGTTAATATGTGATAATGCAGTACAAATTGATAATTTTAAAATAAATAGATATTGTTTGTGTGTGCCCAATTATATGTCATTCTTCAATCAATATTTTTTTTTTCAAATTTAATATATATTATACAAATAAATATATAACATTTTAAAAATATAAAATAGATGAAATATTAAGTATTGAAATAAAAACGTAAAACATACAAATATCTATTACTATTGAGAATGCTCTAGAAACATGTAAAAGATTCCCTTGTTTAAAAGGGCCTTCTCTAGAACCCACTAGTAACCAATAGTGGCATAAATACCACTACCAAAACCAAAGTCACAAGTTCAGTTTTCTCTTAAACTTTTTTACTTCAGTTTCATTTCAAATTTCGTCTCATCGAAAAAGAATTACAATCCTGACAAATTCGTCGCCGGCGTCTTTTTCTCAAGAATTTGCCGGACCATATTTTGCAGAGACATACCTTTAATCTTTGAAGTTCATCAATTCCCAAAGTTTTTTCTCTATTCTTAATTTTCCTCCCTAAATTTTTGGGAAAGGACCCGTTAGAAGTGACGGATTTGTCAGGCTTGTGGTTCTTTTCCGTTGAGCTGAAAATGGAAAGCGGCGATGACTTGGCCTTCCAGAAGAAGCAAATCGATCTCCGGTGTCCGATTACGGCGTCTCAGGTAGGTAGTGAGTTCGCAGTTTCAATAGAAAATCCCTAATTCTTCACTCGTTGACCCGGCTGCGGCACCGGGTGGTAAAGTTGACCTAATTCCTAGGCAATCATTGGATCTTCGATTGATCTCGTTTTATACGTTATTTCGTGTTTCGTTAATTTGATTTTATGCTGGTTGATTGATTCGTTTCACTTTAACTCACGAGCTAGATTCCTTAAATTTCGATTTCGTGACTAGTGTTGAACCGTGCTTGCCATTTTTGCATTTTATTCATCAGCTTTTCTGGAATCGATGTTTTTTACGTCGAGTTGTTTTTATGGTGTTGTCATTTCTGAACCTTTCAAAAATTCATGTATCCAACAACTTTACAGCTGAGTTACGTTGTGCATTAGCTTTTGATCACAGGATGTTCACGTGCGATGATGAGATGAGTGGTAATTCCAGTAATTTACCTATGTTCTTGTCAATGTGCACATCATGTGAGCTGGTTCGGAGCCTACTTTGATTGAAGCTTGTGAAAGGGAATTAAATGGATCCTCTTGTTTATCCCTACTACATTTAACCAGCAGAAAACGAATCAACTGCATCTGTTTTAGTACAAAATTTAAAGAAAAATATGAGTTTCAAAGTGAAAAACAAGCTGCAAATATAAGTCATCTGTTGGAGGTTTCCTTTGCCCTTTTTTTTGGATGACGAGGGAAACCATTGCTACTTGGTAAATCCGCCTTGTGACCTTAACTGGCAAAGGACCAGCCTAAGTTGTCCATAGCTGGTTAGCTCAAACCAACCAAGAATGACAATAGGTCGTTCTCACTGAGAGTCGAACTTGTAACCTTGTGGTTACCCAACCAAAAGCTTGACCAACTTAGTTGGAATTTAAGCCCTTTTGAAAATTTAAGTCCTCAGATTAGAGGATCATTTTCGGACCAACATTCATCTCACATCATGTTGGTATCTGATACGCACCCAAAATAAGAGATAGAAGGAATGAAGAAAATCAGGCAATTCAGAATACATCAGGAAAGGCTTAACTCAAGGGATTTGACAAGAATAAAATCAAAGGCACAATCATATCAACAATATCTCATTTTCTATAATTATTTATTTCCTAACACTATAAATTAGAACCTCTAGATGATAGTAAATCAACCAATCTTTATCCTTAGTCTTTAAGCTTTAGTAGCTAGGCAAGAGCCTAAAACTCTTGTGGGGCAAGAGCCTAAAACTCTTGTTGGGGAAAGTCTTGTGATTTCCTGTTTCTTTATTTCAGTTTCTAGTCAATAAAAATACATCATTGTTCTTTTCTCTAACAAGAATTGGGTTGGTAATTCTTTCCATGCCCATTAGACCAAGTAAACCCACTATGTGAAGGAATTATCTGGAGCGCTGCATTTTCTTCTTGCAGATTGTGTCCAAGGAGCCGGCCTGTGGAGAGAAATTCAATTTCTCGTTCTGCAGTGCGAGCGACACGCATCGTTGTTCGGAGATCTGTTACATCATTCGGTCGGAGCCGCACCCGAATTGTAGGTTTCAAGCCATCGAGAAAAAGCCCTAATTGAATGTGAGGAGCAAGTCCAGGAATTTGGGCAATTCAAGCTCGAAACGCAGTGATGAATTCATCCACCAAGCCCGTTTGACGAAGAGCGGCAAGCTGTTCAAACGGTGGCCCAGGCAATTCTTCACCAAGTTCTTCCAAAAGGTCATGTGTGAATTGAGTCCAAGTAAGAGTGGGTTGTTGTTGTTGTAGCCATCGGAGCCAATGTAGAGCTGCCCCTTCCATACTAATGAAAGCTGTTGGGACCTTCAAATCCTCTCGGGTGTGATGAATGGCAAAGTACTGCTCCACTCTAGCTAACCACCCAATCGGATCTGTGCCTTCAAATGTAGGAAGTTCTGTTTTTCCAATGGGCAGCGAGGTGTTGTCCGGCTGAACATGTTCTGGAAGAGAGGTTGAATTCGGCGTTGGGATGGAAGTTGATGAAGCACTGGCATTGTTGTGCCCTCCGCGGCCTTGGAAGGAGAGAGCGAGGAGATCAGACATCCTAGCCATGGAAGCTTCCATGGCTGCAAATCGATCATTCAATGTGGCCAATTCAGCACGGATTGCATCTTGGTTCTTCTCTAACGTCTTTACTCGGGAATCTCGTGTGTTCGTCATTCAACGGCAGGTCGGACCAATTTGTTAGAGAAAAGAACAATGATGTATTTTTATTGACTAGAAACTGAAATAAAGAAACATGAAGTCACAAGACTTTTCCCATCAAGAGTTTTAGGCTCTGACTAAGGATAAAGATTGACTGATTTACTCTCAAGGTTCTAATTTATAGTGCTAGGAAATAAATAATTATACAAAATGAGATATTGTTGATATGATTGTGTCTTTGATTTTATTCTTGTCAAATCCCTCGAGTTAAACCTTTCCTAATGTGTTCTGATTTGCCTGATTTTCTTCATTCCTTTTTCTGAGTAAACTATCTCTTATTTTGGGTGCGTTCAGTATCACTCTCTTTACTGTTACAACTTCATTCTGCTGAGAATTGGTTAATTCTTGGTGGTTTTTTTTATATGCATTACTAACAGGTAATTTTGCTCATATAATTCTGAAAGAAACTGGTTTGTGTGGGGGCTTACCCTCCCTTTGCTCTGTGTTATATACTGAAGCATTCCATGTAATTGTGCAAAGCATTTCACAAAATGTCTTCAAGAATGGGATGCCTTGTGGTCACCAGTTTCTGTGACAGTTTTCATATATGGTTGGAAATCTGAACCTTATCTTCTTCTTTACCATACTGTCACAAGCCTTCTAAAAATCTATTCTATTATGCATTTATGCCTCCTTTAGCATTCCTTGTTGTGGAATTCAACTTTGTCAATAAAAATTTAAGCAAGCTTCCCTTGGCTTTAACAGTATTTCTCTTTAAGTCATGGTATTATATTAAATCACTATGGTGAAGTTGGTATCAGGTCATCGAGAAAGCAAAGCCTGATCAGTTAAGATATGTAAAATTTTAAATTATTTCCCATATGGAATGTGGTAATATCATGGCATAGCATGATGGAGTTGAGACCATAACTAGGTTTCATGAGTGCTTGCTTAGCAGCTTTGACAGGCTTCTGCCTGACTTCACAATTGGTCAGAATGCCAAAGAAGACTGACTACAAGATTCATGAGGAGCAGCTTTGAATTGAAATGGTGATTACCAACTCTCCATTGAAGTTGGGACAGCCTCTTCTCGAGCCCACACTGCACTTTTCCAGCCTACTGAGCACCACAAACAGGGAGGCGAAATCATGAACTGTGAAACTTGAACAGGGTGAGGAATCTTTATGCTGCATTTTTTTTTTTTCTTCATGTTATGGGTGATTACTGTCTAATAGTTCAGAGTTCGTATTGTAACTTCTAACACTTGAAACTATGAAATGACATGCATTTGTGGTAGGATTTTTTTTTTCTTCTATCCTTCAATTTTGTAGTCAATTATATTTTCACTATTAGTTATTCGATTTTGAATTTCATACTATTAATATTTTCAGCAATCTTCCTGCCAAAGACGTATACATGGTACGCATGCTCCTTTGTGGTTTCAGGTAATGTCTGGTCAAAAACTTTGCTGAACTAAAAGTGGTAAAAAATTCAACCTCAGTGAAAAAATTATAGATGAAATTGTCAAAAAAAAAAAACCTCTTTGTTTAAGGTTGTTCCTGTAATCCTGTTTGTTCTATGATCCACTAATGCTATTTTATAGGTGTGGGGTCGGTGGGACAAACGTTTGGTCAAAAGCCTTGTACTAATTTACGCTAATGTGGCGGAAAGGAAAAACAAAATTGAAAAAGCTTTTGTTTTCTACAACGGTTCCTGTGAAAGAAAAGGTGCTATACACTACTTCCAGCTAGCAATCTATGAGACTATGATGGTATGTTATTCACTCTCTCTCTCTCTCTCTCCCTTTTTTTTTTTTGAATTTTTTAAATCATTCTTCATTAATTATTTAAGTAAAAAATGCTGGAAAATATAGGGAGAAATAATTGATATGCGGAGGAAGAAAAACAAGATTTTATATCATCAATCACCACCTACCAGTCAGAACAGTACAAGCAAAATATAATAAATATTCATCAAGAAAAAAAAAAAAAAGGAAAAACAAAAAAAGAAAAGAAAAGAAAATCTTACTATAGACAGCTTCTCTAAAATTTGGTCACTCCTATGTTGCAAAAAAGGTGGTAAATATGTTGCCTTTATTTCTTTGCTTCTTCTGGAGCCGGTGGTTTGGGTTCTTCTTGCGGCGGCGGTGGAGGAATACCGCCGTCAATGCAGCTCCGGCACCTCCTCTCAACCCACCCTTCTATGTCATGTTCCCCGGAGCCACCAAAGTGGCGGCCGCCGCAGAGGCGGGCGATGACCCCGGCAATGACTCCAAGCAGGGTGATGACGGCCAACACAACAAGCAGTGTTTCAATGGACGAGTGTGTGGAGTGGGTCGTCGGAGCTGGTGGCTGCTGCTGCTGCACCACCAACATGGGCGGCGCCTCCACTAGCGGTGGCAGCTCGTTCCCCATCTTCTCTAGTGCCATTAACTTCCCCATATTACACCCAAGAAAGTAGAATATATTGCTTCTGGATGGTTATCTTTGCTCTTACCCTCTTGGAGTAGGGAATGGAAGTATAAGTAGGAAGGACTAAGGAGGGGGTTTGAGTCATGAAAAGTAAAAAGAGAGTGAACAAATGAGATTGAGTAAAAATTATGTTATTAGTGGTGGACAAAAGCAATGAGCATTTGATGAAAAGACACAGTACAAATTGTTTATGAGAAAGTTTAAATGATACATGGCCCAAAATATATAACTAGGGATACAAAAGAGGGTTACTAAATCTAATAAAACATTGCTTCTGTGATTAATGAAATTGTGTGATTTTGACATGCTTAATGTATAAGAGCATCTTCAATGGTGGTAAAAAATGAATTTTTTGTCAGTGTTTTTATGATGTGAGTGAGAGAAAATATAAGATAGCAGAGAGAGACTAAAAAAAAGTAAGTTATACTATAATTGTGATTTTTTTTAAATAATAATAATAATAAGACACAGTTGGTGGGCGTTTAGCACATTAGGGTGGCCATTAGTTTACCGTCATTGTGACTTTTTTTTTTTTGGTACTTTTCTTTCTCCTGCTTGGCACATTAACGAGATAAAAATTCAAAATTGAGTTTAACCATTGTGGTTACTCTGAGTGTTATACATCATATGCTTTCACTAGTGTTTGCTTCTATGGTTAAGATGATCCTAATGTAACATCATTTGATGCACCAATAGTGTATTAGTGCTATATATCATATGTTTCATTGTTACAAGATGTTTACAAACACACTGTGTTTCACTATTTGTTTTTATAATTAATGAAAGAGTAAATACTCAAAATGGTCCCTTGATTATAGCTAAATTTACAAATTGGTCCTCGACTTTTAATTTCAACCAATTAAGTCCTTAACTTTGTAATTTTAACACAATTTGGTCCTTTGTCTATTTGACCGTTTGTTGACTGTGATTTTTGAGGATATATATGTAATTTTATGGTCCATCGTTGGTTTTTTAAGCTTCCGGTTGCATTTTCAGACCGCTCTGTTACATTCGAATCCACTGCCGAAAGCAATCTATCAAATCCGATCGTCTTTCTTCATCCTCCCTTTGGATTCATGTAGTTGAGTTCGTACCAGAGCGAAGAAGACGACGTGTTTTCGAACCGGTGCAACGTCATCCTGGAGGTCTCCACGTGCTTCGACAAGAGCTGAAGGTTCTTCTGGAGATCGTTGATCACGGTCAACAAACGGTCAAATAGATGGAGGACCAAATCGTGTCAAAATTACAAAATTAAGGACTTAATTGGTTGAAATTAAAAGTTGAGGACTAATTTGTGAATTTAGTTATAGTCGAGGGACCATTTTGGATATTTACTCTTAATGAAATGAGATGATTTTGAATTTTGATGTGACATCCTTATTAAATATTTGCTAGGTAGGGTTACTTTTGTTGCATTGGATCTTCTGCAACCCATAATTTCTCGACTCTCTTTTCCTTGTCCACATTGCTTATCAATTTAAGGTGGTTGGGTCTTTTTAGGTACCAAACATAGTTGAAAGCTAAGCTAGATTATACACAAAGTAATTAGATGACTATATACTGATACACACACATATATATAGTCTACTATTTACAAGGCAGTCCATTTTTGAAAAAGTTGGAAATTTTATATACATATATATACCTACTACCTAGTTTGGCTTTACCAATCTGTCCTTGGTGGTATCACATGTTTGTCTAGTTCCCTCTGACCATATATTTCATTTTCCCATTCATCTTCTTGAAAATTTCCCAGTTTTGTCCCTAGTGATTAACTATTCACTTGTCTCTTAGGAATGAGAGAACTTCAGCACAATTGTCTTTCCAGTTTCCATAAGCTACATACATGCATTATTTTTGGGTGACGAGAAAATCTGCAGTTATTATCCGAATATGTAAACTAGGTTAACCCTGATTCTGTGTATTAACTTGTAAACTATACAGGAGAGGTAAATCACATTACGAAGAACCTATGCAATGAGGTGTTGGGGAAGAAACATTCATGCATTATTGTTTATAGTGCATGTGAGACAGACACATAAGCAATAATTAACACATTTGTAAGTAATTTAAGTATTTAAGTCATGACTGAAATGGGGGAGCCACCTGAAAGATTTATTGAGTGACATTTCCATGGCACAGTGCAGAATGCTGCATTTGTGCAGAGAGTACAGGCAAGCTGGCTAAGGCCATGGTTGTAACGCATTGCATGTTTTGGAAAAAACAAAATGTGAACAATCATTCAAAATACAACTTGGGCCTTAATTGTGCTGGCCATTCACAACATGAGTCCAGTTCCATCTCCTCTATTTTGGACTTTGTGGGCCTCTTTCATCCTATTTTGGTCCTGTTTGGTAAAATAGTTAGTCTATCAGTCAATTTTAGTTTATTTGACCACTATTAGTTGTTTGAGAAAGTCATTTTGTATGTAATCAGCTAACAATTAATTTACCAAACATTTTTCTACAATCAGCTTGATGGAATAATTACGAATGGATCCTGGGCGAACCGACCCACGAGGAGCACGCACCCCCCGTGGGGTCGGTCACCCAGGGCTCGGCCTCTATGGGGTCGGCCGGCTACTTGTTCGAGCCCCGAGCTCGGCTGAGTGGCGTGGTCCCCGCACGGAGCGGGTGCGCGGCGAGAGTGCGGCACCCCGCGTCTTCCGGGTTGTTATGGCGACATAGGCTATAAAATCCCTCTTTGATGTCTTAATCAAGGCATCTTGTGTCCTAAACACTTACTTGTCTTGTTATTACACGTTCATACCTCTGTAATAGTGTTACATATTCAATTAATACAATATTAGTCCCCGTGACTATATTTGTACCGATATTCATACCCATATTATCTCGTATACTTGTTACATTTATTCATTTATTCGGGTTAATTAATTCGGACCCCGATTTAATTAATTACATCACAGCTAATACTATCAACTAGTTAAACTCACAAACCTAATCAGTTAACAACCATTTACCAAACACCCTATTTGTGTTTTTCAAATGTTGGAACAAAGAATGTCAGAATTAAAGGCTTATTACTTGTGCAATTGTAATTGATATTGGAGACATAATTGTATTTCTTTTTTACTTGTGTAGTAGTTAGTAGCACATATAAAATGCATAACGATTCAAGACTACAATGAATTTGACCGTTTAGACTTTTGCCTAACAAAGAAAACAATACACTTACATGAATGTAGGCCAAGCTACTCACATAACATTAACCCCCACCATGAACGGATTCCTTTAAAGGAGTTGATCAAAGACTTATAAGTCAAAAAATCATAAATGATCCAATCTACACACCTATTATAAGTATTAAAAGAAAAAAGAAAGAAAAAAAGCTTACTACCTTTTTGACTATCTTGACAGACATACACCAATACAATCTCTCCACTTTTGTAACACTACTACATTGGATTGAGTTTGGTAGCTCTAAGGTTAGATTTTTGTCTGGTTAACATAGGACTGTACTGTATGGGCATGTGGCGGTTGGTGAATAATTAAAAAAAAAAAAAGTAAAGAATTAGAGGACAAAAAATGGTGAAAAAGATGAGTGGGCGGTGTTGACATATACACGTGAAATTATATCAGAATTCATGAACCTAATCTTAGCTTTGAATTATGTGGAAACATGTCAATTAGGCAAATAACGTGTTAGTGTCTGTGTGGCATAGAAGAAAGAATGGGCAAATATTTTGCTTTTTTTTTTTTTCTTTTTTTTTTTTCTTTAAATGTTGGACCTGCCATATTTATTATATATAGTACTCCCCCACGTGGCTATTCATTGGCTTCATTGCTAATTCCAATCACATTAACTTCAAAACATGTAACATGCTATGGTATAAATAGTGATTATGAGAATAATTGATAAATTAATTCAAAATGTAAGAATCTCACTATTATAATATTATTACATCAGAAGAATATGTCATGAAAGGATAACGATATATGATATCAAGTCAAGTTCTTTTTAACTCGCACGGACTTAGCTCAATGGTTTAGTGGGCAGTATTTGGAGTAAGAGATTAAGGTTTGAATTTTGACTGTGGCAATGTGAGAATTATGTCTAAAATAGGCAGTTTCCTTATGCGCACCGGCATTTGGATAAGTCCCGCATAATTACAGATTTTTCTAATCATAAAAAAATTATTATAAGTATATATGAATAGATACTATTAATTTGTAACAGAGTCTATAGTAGTTTGTACAAAACAAGATATGGCAACAATACAATGAATTGACATTTCCTTAGTGTCCACAACCCACTGGTTACAACTTACAACCACTACTTTGTAATGTTGTCTTCTTAGAAGTCATTAAATTGAGATTTCTTCCATCCGTGAAGCCGTGAACAGAAGCTGATCAAACCGCCCAGCCTCACTCCAGCTACCTTCTCTGTAATTTCTCTCTCTCTCTCTCTCTCTGGATTAAGTCAGTAAGCTTCTCTAAGTTGCCCACATTGTATATTGTTTGAATCTCCATCTACCCATTTCTGAAAGCTTGGAACTTGTGACATTGTCTCTGGGTTTTGCTCTATTGCTTGATTGAATCAAATCTTGATTTGCTTTGCTCTTCATCCATGTTCTTTGAGGTTGTTATTAACTGAAAGTCTGGAACTTTAATGTAACATGACCACTCTGTTCTTGAAGGTACAGTTGGAGAGGGAAAATGGGGAAAGAGCTGAGATTCTTGATTGGGATTGTTGTGGTATGTGGTTGTGTGTTTGTAGCCAATGCAGATTACATGCTCTACAAAGATCCAACAAAGCCAATAGGTCGAAGGATCAAGGACCTGATGGGCAGGATGAGCTTGGAGGAAAAAATTGGGCAAATGGTTCAGATTGAACGCCAAGTTTCATCTTTTGAGGTCATGAAGAAATACTATATAGGTGTATACTTTTGTGAAAATTGATGTTTTCCTCTTTATATCTATGTTTCATACCCCACTACCCGACTAGGTAAACCAGTCTAGGTTGCCCATAGCTAACGGGCTCAAATCAAGAATTTGTTTCCCCCGGGAGTGGAACTTGTAACCTTGTGGTTACCCAGTCAATAGCTCGACCAACTTGGTTGGGGTTGTTGAGCATATAGCCATTAATGTGCAATCCAACTATCAGCTTAAGCTTTTAGTTGAGATGGAGCACATGCTTCAATTGGGGTTGCCCCATGACTGCAATTTCTTGATTGCATTAAGAACATGTGAGTTGTGGAGCAGGTAGTGTGTTGAGTGGAGGAGGGAGTGTTCCAAAGGAGAAGGCATCTGCTCAAGACTGGGTGGACATGGTGAATGATTTCCAGAAGGGCTCGTTAGCGACCCGGCTTGGGATTCCTATGATTTATGGGATTGATGCAGTTCATGGCCAAAACAATGTTTATAAAGCTACTATTTTCCCCCATAATGTTGGTCTTGGAGCAACCAGGCAAGATTGATATTAAGTTGGATTTGCTTTAGGCTTTTAGTTCGGCTTTCATCAATTCTTGTTAGTTATATTGCCATGTCTGTTGAACATTCAGGGATCCTCAACTGGTTAGGAGGATTGGCGCTGCAACTGCTCTTGAAGTCAGGGCTACTGGGATTCAATACGTATTTTCACCCTGCATTGCGGTAAAATAAGTTCATGTGACCTAAATCTAAACAATAAAAATGAAAAATAAGATGTCTTGGATGTTATGCTTTAATCGTAATGGCTTGATTAGGTATGTAGAGATCCTAGATGGGGCCGGTGCTATGAGAGTTACAGCGAAGATCCCGAGATTGTGAGGGCTATGACTGAAATCATCCCGGGATTACAAGGGGAGATACCACCAAATTCTCTGGGCGTCCCCTTTGTTGCTGGAAAGTAAGTTTGTAAAAGTTATTGTCTTCTGTTTGCTATATGAACTCGGAGTAATTACTTGTTTTAAATAATCTCGGGCTTTAGACTAAGCTTCTCATATCGAGAGAAAGGTCTTAACTTTAACCCCATAAACCAAAACCTTATTTTCTGCTGTTCAAAAAAGGGGGAAAAGGTAAGACAGCAAATAATGATCCAGAAAAGGACCGTCTTTTGCAGCATGTAGCATGCGCAATGATTGTTTTATTCTTTAAAGATATAGAATCGATTTTCATATATCCTCTTAATAATTTCGTCGATTATATCTTTCTTTATCATTCTTATCAAAGTATATAGCTTCAAACATACTGGCATTATACTATGTTGAATAAAGAAGTGTTTTGGTTTTTTCTTCGTTTTCTTTCTTTAGAGAAAAGGTTGCTGCTTGTGCTAAGCATTACGTGGGCGACGGTGGCACTATAAAGGGCATTAACGAGAACAACACGTTGATTGACTGGCATGGCCTCCTCAGTATCCACATGGCGGGCTACTATAATTCAGTTATCAAGGGCGTGGCTACTGTCATGGTCTCCTACTCGAGCTGGAACGGGGTGAAAATGCACGCTAATCAAGAAATGATCACCGGGTTTCTTAAGAAAACACTCCGTTTCAGAGTAAACCCGACTTCCCATTTTAAAAGCTTAGATTGCTAATCAAAGAGGACTAAAAGTTCGGATTTTTAACATTTTCAGGGTTTTGTTATCTCGGATTATATGGGTATTGACAAGCTTACACCTACCATGCACGGGAACTACACGTACTCCATTCTACATTCTATCAATGCTGGAATCGATATGGTCAGTCAAAAATACAAACGAAATCCCAATTTACTATTTCACAAATCAGAAGAGTAACCTAATTTATCAGTCAGTTCAAGTTTCAACGACAATTTACTAGTTGAATGAAGGGAATTTATACTGTTTTTGCTGAATTTTGCAGGTTATGGTTCCAAACAACTATACAGAATTCATTGATGGGCTAACGTTTCTGGTGAAGAATAACTTCGTGGCAATGAGCCGAATTGATGATGCAGTTAAGAGAATTCTCAGAGTGAAGTTCGTAATGGGCCTTTTTGAGAACCCATTGGCTGATTATAGCATGGTGAACTATCTCGGGAGTAAGGTAAGATTTTTCGTTTTCTTTCTTCTGTGTTTTTCGGGAATTACAGATAACTGAACTCTTATGCATGTGTAATAGCTAGCAATCGTACTTTTGTGTAGGAGCATAGAGAGCTGGCAAGGGAAGCGGTGCGAAAATCTCTTGTTCTTCTGAAGAATGGAGCAAATGCAGATGAACCGGTTTTACCACTCCCAAAGAAAACGTCGAGAATCCTGGTTGCAGGAACTCATGCTGACAATATTGGCAATCAAAATGGCGGCTGGACAATAACATGGCAAGGAGTTCCTGGCAATAGTACTGTAGGTAAGTTCTTGATATCTCGAATTAGCTTAATTTTGTTGAACATTTAACCATTAGTGCAATCCAACTACCAGCTTAGGCTTTTAGTTGAGATGGAGTACATGTTTAATTTGGTATCAGAGCTAGACCAAAGGTCTCTACTAATAGATGGATCTTTCATTCTTTACATTGGACGACAGGTACTACAATACTCTCAGCTATAAGAAACACGGTTGATCCAAAAACCGAAGTTGCTTTCAAAGAAAACCCCGATATGGAATATGTGAAGTCGAATGAGTTCTCACACGCCATCGTGGTTGTGGGGGAGACAACCTATGCAGAGGGCTATGGGGACAGCTTAAACCTGACGATCCCCGAGCCTGGACCGACCATTCTGACAAACGTATGCGCCTATGTGAAATGCGTTGTGGTTCTCATCACCGGGCGGCCTGTTGTGATTCAGCCATACCTCCCTCGGATCGATGCCCTCGTGGCTGCTTGGCTTCCGGGAACAGAAGGCCAAGGCGTTGCAGATGTGCTTTTTGGCGATTACGGGTTCTCGGGCAAGCTTCCCAGGACATGGTTCAAGACTGTTGATCAGCTCCCCATGAATGTTGGAGATTCACACTATGACCCACTCTTCCCTTTTGGATTTGGGCTTGAGACTGAGGCTATAAAGTAGAAGAGATTACAGTTTTATTGAGAGGGGAAAGAGAAAACAGAAAGAGAACAGTATGTACCACAGAAAACTACACTTCATTGTCTAACATTTCTTTTTTCTGCTGATAAAGAATTCATTGCTATTACACAGAAGCGGGGTTTACTGGTGGACACACTTAAGTTGTAGTTGCTGGTTTTTCTCGTCACTCGAAAAAAAGAAAAAGAAATCACTGTTACACGCTTACACTGATGTTACACTGATTCTGTAATGTCAGACTCCATTTGTGATTCCACTCCTTTATACCATATATGCTATTATTATTTCTGAAACATGGATTACTTTTTATGGTTGATAATGGGAAGACGGGGTGTGTTTGGTTCATGGATTTATATTAGGAATATGAATTAAAATTATAGTTAGTGTTTGGTTGATAACGTTTTAAAATGCATGAGATTTGATTACTCCTTCAATTAAAAATTTAAAAAAAAGGTATCATTGTATGTTATTGGTAATATGATTTTTAAGTTTAGATTAGTGCTTTTAGATTTTTGTTTTGATTTTTTGTTCATATTGATGCTTTAGATTAGATATCATTATACCAGGACTATGTGGTCCAATGGTACCCGGGTTGGACTTCCATTTGGAAGATTATGCTATAATGTAATAGAGCCAGTAACTTAAAAAAAAAAAAGATTAGATATCATTATATTAGGATCAATTGTCTTGCTTTTTTTATTAAAAAAAAAAAAAAAAAAACCTTTATTCCCATAGGATCATATATAACCAAATATCAATATTCGTAATCATTTTAATTGCAACATATTACCAAACATGCAAAATACTTTCACAAAAACTCATATCATTACTAAGGTCATCTCCAAAGAGATAGCAAATCACCAAATCTACAAATAATGGGACTCCAATGACGCGACACTATTCATTCAAGCCATTTTCTGGACAACTTTTTAATTTCTATTTTGCCCCTGCTTTAATTTGTTAATTCATTTTTTACATAATTTATTTTGCTTTTATGTATTTATATATTTTTATTAAATACTTAAACATAAATGTTATATTATTATAAATAAATTATATCAATTGAAAAATCTCATCAAGATGATTAAAACAAGACTATTATTAAATATAGATATAGATTAATTAAAAATTAAAATAAATAAAACATAACAACAACATAAAAATAAGAGTTAATACCTAAAATGGTCCCTCGACTATGCCATAATTACCAATTTGGTCCTCAACTACCATTCTTACCCAATTAAGTCCTCAACTATGTAACTTTTACTAAATTAAGTCCTCAACTATACAATTCTTACCCAATTTAGTCCTCAACTATACAATTCTTATCCAATTTAGTCCTCTGTATTAATTTGACTGTTTGTTGACTATCAAAAGTCGGGATAAAATTATAATTTTACAAGATTTCTCCTTCCTCTCCATTTAGCAGCGCCAAACCATGCAGCAATACACTGGGATCAGATTTCGATCGTCAAAAAATCGTTGAAAATCAAATTCATGGGCTATCCGATGCACAACCACTACTTAGATACTGACAGGTTTAGAACCCAACCGGAGCTTATTTCTACATGGTTTAGCGCTGCTAAATGCGGAGGAAGGAGAAAACTTGTAAAATTACAATTTTATTTCCACTTTTGACAGTCAACAAACAGTCAAATTGACAAAGGACTAAATTGGGTAAAAATTATATAGTTGAGGACTTAATTGGATAAGAATGATAGTCGAGGACCAAATTGGTAATTACGACATAGTCAAGGGACTATTTTAGGTATTAACTCTAAAAATAATGTTACTAAAAATTTATTATTTACATCACAAATTATATTTTATTCTCCTTCCGATTCTGATTTCCATAAATTATATTTATATCTAACCATCCGATATGTGAAGATTTCGATGCAGTCGAAGATTCTAAACCTCCGTTGACGTAATTCATACCGTCAAGAAAAAAGAAAACGTCAAATTACTACTGGGTCTACTGTGCAGGCTGAATTTTCAGAGTAGAAGTCGTCGAACGCGCAATTTCTCTGATCTATCTCAATTCTCAGACTCTTCTCTCTACTTCAAGGTGGAATCCACATTATCGGGTTCACAGAAATATTCCCAAGATTTGATTTTTTTTTTTTTTTCTTCTTCCTCGCACTGATTTACGTGTTTACAGGTAATGGGGACGCCGGCACTTCCAAACCTGGGAAAGCACTGCTCCGTCGACGATTGCCGGCAGATTGATTTCCTGCCGTTCACCTGCGATTGCTGTCAGAAGGTACCTTACATACCTCCATCTCTCCCATTGTGTCCATATGAAATGCACTCAGAATCACCTTTCCTGGTTATATTTGAATTTTTTTTGAATAATTTGTACTGGGATTTAATCATCTTGTTGTTTTAAGTATTGGGTCTTCGGCTATTTAAGAATTTATTTACTCCATACATTTGTTTGTGAAGATTAGAAGGGAATAGTGTTTAGCTCTGGTTTTGTATGAGGTGAGGTTAAAGAACAGGTTAATGCCTTAATGGCAATCTTTACTCTCTAACTGGGCATTGAGAGAACTGTTCCCAATCCTGGAAGAAGAAAAAATCAGAAAAAAAAGATGGTAGAAAATCTTGGGAAATTTTTAACTTAGATGAATAACTTAAATGTGGCAGTGATTGTAGAATTTGTTTAAGCATAATGTTGATAGAAATCTTCACTTGTTTTTTTTGAGTGATGAGGGAACCCCGTAGCCACCTAGGGTGTGCACCGGTTAAACCCTGTAACCTAGATTGTTATAGCTGACTAGCTCAAACGAAGAAGGCCAATAAATCCCATACCAACTTGGTTGGGGTGATGAATTAGTAAATTACATGAATTAATAGAAACAACGCTTATATAGGGCAGTTCGATTGTCTCAAGAGGGAAGACCCGACCCCCAACCTCCCTCGAAAACTGTGACTTCACTTCTCATTGTGCTGAAGGGATCAATGTTTATCTAGCGCATAGATTATGTAGACTGCTTCCCCCTAAACGAAATAAGTTTTGAGTTTTTGCTTTGCAGACTTTGTATTTCCAGGATTCATTTTATGTTTTAGATAGCTTCACATAAAATAAGTTTTTGTTGTTGATCTTGGTTTTTGCTTTTGTTTTTATCAATTTTTTTTTTTTCTAGAGACCTAACTCTCGTATCTGACAGGTCTTTTGTCTAGAGCATCGAAGCTACTTGAGGCATCACTGTCCAAAGGCCAATAAAAACGATGTTACGGTAGTTGTCTGTCCACTATGTGCTAAAGGTGTTCACTTAATTCCCGATGAAGACCCGAATGTGACCTGGGAGTCGCATGTGAACATTGATTGTGATCCGTCAAACTATGAAACATCCACGAAGAAGAGGAAGTGTCCTGTGCCTGGTTGCAAAGAACTCCTGACATTCTCAAACACAATTAAGTGTCGAGAGTGTAATCTAGATCACTGTTTGAAGCACCGGTTTGGACCCGATCACAAATGTCCTGGACCTAGGAAACCCGAAACGTCTTTCCCATTCATGGGTTATTTGAGTAAGAGTAGAAAGGACGAGACGAAGCATGCTCCCGCTACTTCTTCCTCGAGCTGGACCGCCACTTTCCTCGGGGCAACATCTTCTGTTCGGGCAAAAGCTGGAGCCGGAATGGCAAAACTGAGCACCGAGTTCAATCAAGCACTGCAGAAAGGAAAAGACCGGGGCAGCCTTAACAGCAGGGCCACAAGACAAGCTGGGAATGCGAGTGGAAATGTAGAACAATGCCCACAGTGCAACACGCGATTCTCCTCGGTTGTGGACCTCGTGGATCATGTGCAGAACGTCCACGAAAGGAAGAGCGTTACGAATTTGGCAGTTGACATCTGCCCGAGATGCAGTAAAGGCTTTCACGACCCAGTTTCCCTCGTGGAACATGTCGAAAGGGAGCACAGGAACTTCACAAGCGTATAGAGAACTCGAAGTTCATAACATGATACAAAATCCAAAATGTCATATTTTCAACATTTGTTTTTTTGACACAACTACACATTTGTTCAATTTTTGAGGGGTCTTTTCTTTATATATGTGCCCATTTGTTTTCAGTTTTTGTGTGTTCACTTAAGTAGCTATTATGGTCTCTCTTAATATAAACAGACATCTACTGGCTTCTGGAAATCTACATGCTTACATGGTGAAAGATCATATATTGGTTGATCTTGAGCCTTGACTATATAGGGCAAATAAATAGGGTGTAACCGTGTCGAGACGAGTTTGAATAGGGCAAATAAATAGGGTGTAACCGTGTCGAGACGAGTTTGAATAGTCAAAATTTGATGCTCAAGCTCAGCTCAAATTTGATTAAGCTCTATTTATTTATTTATTTATTTATTTTGAATTCAAGCTTGACTCGAATAGCCAATATTTCTTTTATATTTTTTATACAAAATATTTTACAACCAAATATCATATTAAAATTCAATATTACATCTTGGTGGTAACTTTTTTTTTTAGTACTATTAACTCTATTATAAGGTAGTATCTGTTTACCAGTGACCTTCCGAGAGCCGCAAAGGTACCATATAAACACAATGTGGTTCGCTGGTGATAACCATATATTAGTCTTGTGAGTTGTTCGAGTTGAAAATTAAGCACTAGGTGCCGGCCGGCCGATCTAGATTTTCACTGTAATTGGTGTGTTAGGTGGTTGATTAGCTATTGTTCCGTTTTTTTTAATGGATTATTTTATTCAAAACGACGTCTTTTTGAGCGAAATAGCCCTAAATCATTTAAATCGATCACAAATCCAAAAAAAAAAAATGTATTTAAAAAAATGAAATTAGCTACTCTAATATTGATACTTTGTGAGTTGTGACTTTATAGAATTATTATGTTTTGATTTTTTAAATCTTTATACAATTTACAATTCTAGATGTTCTTTAGGTTAATTAATATTTAATATTTTAGTATTAAATAGTTTATAATTATTAAGTCTTCAAATTTAAAAAAAAAAATTAAAAATAAAATAAAATAATTATAATATTTAAAAAAGCAGGCGTCTAAGCGCCCCCGGACGTCCGAAAAATGCCTAGATTTTTGCAACCTTCATATTAAATGCACAAATTTAATTTAATAATTACATGAACTATTAAGCATGAGTTTGACTCGACAATAACCAAACCAAGTTTGAACATTCGTTGAATCAAACTTGAATAGCTCAAGAATAGTTTGGCCCGCTTACATCCTTTAATAAGCCACTCAAGTGGTTTTTGAGTGAGTTAAAATTGATCTAAAAAAATTAAACAAATTTTTCGATAGTCAAAATTAATTATGATTTTTATTGGCTTCTTGTTATAACTACAAAGTCCTTCCTTTGAGTAACTATGAAGATATTGATGACTGATGTTAGATAAATGATAAGCAATCAATTATTTATAAGTCCATTATTTCCATTGCTATTCAACTCATCATCATCTTCTTGTTTTTCTTAGTTGGTTCATTGTGATCCCTTATGATGGTATACTATACAAATTTCGCATAATCTTGAGTCTAACTCAATTGATCAACCAATACGAAATAAATTTATAAGTTTTGCTTTGTTAGCAGTTACAGTGTATAAGATTTGAATCCTATCAAGAACATGAAAAATGAGGTATATATTTGATCTTGCGATAAGCACTAGTACACTAAGCATTTAGAAACATGTAGACCAATTGAAGCACATCTTGCGAATTACTGAACAAGTTAGAGCATAATTTTGTGATTTATTTCCTTTATCAGTCTTTAAACTAAGAGTGGTAATGGACCTTGGAGTTCAAAAGTTTATATAAAAATTTCATATATTTACTTGCACTAGTAAACAATAATTAGTAGTAATAATGAGAGGGATAATTAAATATGATCATTATTACTTTTGACATTTGAGTAGAACCTTAAAAACTCAATGCCTGCCCACGTCTATCCAGGATACTTTAATCATCATCATTATTATATGCAAAATTTCATGTACACATTAAAACATATAATAATATTCAAGTAAGTGAAGTATGATTTTGATATTAAAATATTACGTAATTAATTATTATCATCACTTTTTTTCGTTCTTAAAAAAAAAAAAAAACACTTTTCCCGTTGATTATTATCAACTATGAGGTGTCATTTCGAAGTTGAAACTTATATATAAATTATTACGGAGTATAAAATAATGGCACCGGTTGTGCCAGCGTGTTGCGGGCCTTTCGGTTCTTTGTATAGTCAATACAACAAGCTGGACAACATTATTCATCCAACTCCCAACTAACAAGTAGGTCTACAAAGGTGGCCATACAATTTATAAATGAGACAACTTTTTTTTTTCTTTTCTTTTTGCCCACAATTTTTTTTTTTTTTAATATATAGCATCCATAGTAGAACTCGTATACTCCGATATATATATAAAGTGACGTTTCAATGAGAATTTATCATTCCGTAAGAATTTTTAAATTTGTATATAAATACACAAATTAAAATCTTAGATTCTAGTTTACAATACATGCAATCTTTGCTGGAATAATTTGTGTACATTTATATAGACAATTATGTGCATTAATGTTAGTTCACAGGTTTTCAAATAATGAGAATGGATTCTCATTTAACCATTAATCTATATATATATATATATATATATATATATATATATATATATATATATATATATATATATTGGATATTATTAGCACATAAAATTACATACAACCACAACATATATAATATACAAATGTAACGGAAGACATAATGTAGTCATAAATCTCCTAACCGTTACATCATCAATACTAATAATGGCCACACTAAATATATTATTTATAACACTTAATTATATAACTTTTTTTTTTTTTTTTTTGCTTTTTCGTTTTTGATATATTTATGGAATATATTACAATGTTAATCATCTAATACAATTTTTTTTTTTAAAAAATGTCCAGTACAACTAAATGCATACTAGGTAAGGCATTGCTGTTCTTTCACTTATTTATTTTCTGAATTTCAACAAGTTACTCCGTATATGTTAAAGTGTTAACTACTCCAATAAGTAATAAATTATATTATTTTCTTGGGTAACTAGAAAATCATGAGCGAGTATGTACTATGGAGTAAATTCTTCTTTTTTTTTTTTTTTTTTTTTAATAGCATCTAAACTACATAGAAAAAGTAAATTGTACAGGGTAAATCAAACTCAACTAAGAGAGTTTTTTTTTTTATTTTTATTTTATTATTATTATTATTATTATTATTATTATTATTATTTGAAAAAAACTAAGAGAGTTTTAAGAATAGAAGTAGCTGTGTTGGAAAGTCAAAGTTGGTTAATTATACTCCGTAGTTGATTTGATTTAAAAGAAAAGAAAAATCCTTTTAAAATGTAGTGCAATAAAGTACAACATTGTCATGACTGATAAATCCAAGTTTATTGTCATTCTGATTCCAATTTGGCATATACATCTGACCATTTCTGATTCTTTAATTTTGTTTCCTTCACTTAAATATGGGCAATTTCAATCATATATGTCCGCCCGCATCAACCCATATCTGAGTTTATATTCTTACATATACATATATATGGCTTTTATTTTCCCTATCAAAATAAATATCTGACAGATTCCAGAATTGAAGAAGTTTACTGTAATTTTTAGGAGAGAATTTTGATGGGTCACCAGCCTTTTGGGCCGGTCTGCTCTTAGGCACATTGATCTGAAGGTCAGTAAATTCCCTCCACTTTGTTCTCAACTTGAATGCTTATGAGTTATGTATACACACAGAGTAATGTATCATTGTATATACACCCTGCAGACTCAGAAAAACACCCAAATAATTTGATTTTATCTTCAGAGATCCAGAAAATGTTGTTGATTGTGTGGGGAATTTGAATACCACATTTCAAGAAAAGTAGTTTGCAGGGTACCCTTTTCCTCAGAATTGTTGGCAATGGGTGTTGTTTTGGGATTTATGGTTTTTTATGAGTGACGAGAGAAACCTGCAGTCATAACCTCACACTATCTGGGGTGCGGATAAACCCTGCCTTGTGACCTAGCTGGTAAAGGACTACGAGGAAGCAAACCAGCCTAGGTTACCCATAGTTGATCGACTCAAATTAACCAGCCTAGGTTACCCATAGTTGATCGACTCAAATTAAGGAAGTTAATAGGCCATTTCCATTGGGAGTCGAACACTCGAACTTGTAACATTGTGGTTACTAAGTCAACAACCTAACCAACTTGGCTGGGTTGCCCTCAAGATTTGTGGTTTGTGTTTGAGGGAGGATGGCATGATAACACTGCACCCATATGTTTGAATTCATTGTTTGGAGATTGTTCTGTGTAATGCTTGACTGAGATTTTGATGTTAATTTGAGCTTACATTGATGAAATATAGGCTGGTCCCAGAATATGTGCCCATTCTCCCACAGTGCTTCTCATTCCTTCTGCTATGAGTTTTGAGCTTCTGGTGACTGACAAGTGAAAGAAAGGATAACCTTTGAAGTTGGAACGAGAAGGTTTGTCACTAGCTGTTGACTTGTATACAGAATGAGCAGCACGGTCTCGGGTGTTATCTCGAGGCAAGTCTTGCCAGCATGTGGTACCCTTTGTTTCTTTTGCCCGGCAATGAGGGCGAGGTCAAGGCAGCCCGTGAAAAGGTACAAGAAGTTAATATCCGACATTTTCCCTAAGTCACAGGTTAGTTATTAATTTTCGCTTTACAGATTTCCCTAAGTATGGCTATACGTAGTATTTACAATTACTTAATAATCATTTCCAGTGTTATAAGAATGGGTTGCCTTTTTTTTTTTTCTTTTCATTTTACTTGCAGGAAGAAGAACCAAATGACCGTAAGATTGGTAAACTATGTGAATATGCAGCCAAAAATCCTTTGCGCATTCCAAAGGTACTTTTTGGTTATGCGTTTCATGTAATAAGGAGTTTCTTTCAGTCAATATAATAAAACACAATATCAAATGTCTCGATTCTTGAACACTAAATATTGGAATATATTAACTGTTGCATCTAACATTTTGCATTTGGTACAATGTTGTAGTTGCATGTGGAACTTTTGTTCTCAAATATTGCTTAGGCATTAATAATCCTTATATTATTTGTTGTAATCTTCCTTTATATGATTATTTGGCTCAATACTTAGCAAAAAGATTTCTTCCAACTTAAAACTAACAATATGGGTAAATGCATTTTCTCATTCGCCTACACATCTGCTGACCAGATTACAGCCTCACTCGAGCAAAGGTGTTACAAGGAATTAAGAAACGGGAATTTTCAATCAGTAAAAGTTGTTTTGTGCATATACACGAAGTTGATAGTGTCTTGCAAGGAACAGATGTAAGTTTGTGTTTCTTCTTCCACTCCATATGCCTTGCATCAAACTTTAGCTTGGTTCTCTGAACTTAGTATTGATTAATTTTTATATCAAATTTCTTTTAAAAAGCGTTTTATAAAAAAATGGCGTTAAATTATTGTAAATGGAAACTCTTAGCACTTCCTGTAAAACGGATTTTCATTACCTGTCCATTTACTATTGAATCTAAGCTTTCTGTCAATTTCCATCAGGCCACTGTTTTCAAGTAGCGTGCTAAGCATCATAAATGTTCTTCTTGATCAAACACAACAAGATGATATGCTTATAATAGGCTGCCAATCAATCTTCGATTTTGTAAGCAATCAGGTTGGTACGATGTGTAGATGACCCACAATTTTACTTTGGATAATTTCGATTAGAGTGTAATATGTGCTGATTATCCAGTTGTACTTGAACCAGTACCTTTTTATCTTCAATAAACCTATTAACTTGTATTTTTCAGAAAGACGGAACCTACATGTTTAACTTTGAAGGATTTATTCCGAAACTCTGTCCATTGGCACAAGAAATGGGAGAAGATGATAGAGCGAATCATATTCGTGCAGCTGCACTCCAAGCACTATTTGCCTTGGTATTTTTCATGCAAATCATTCGGTTTTAACTTCTTGAATACAATACTCTTTCAAATATGTTGCCTTATTAAGAGATTCTGATTCCTGCCACTCCGTTAAAAATATACAGGTTAGGTTCATGGGGGAACGTTCGCATATTTCAGTTGAGTTTGATAATGTAAGCAGGCCGTTTTGTCTTAATTTGGATTTTCTTCTTTATTCGTTGACTAGCTTCCATATGCTTCTGATTACAGGGTTTTGAGTTTTGACAAACTATAAATTCACAATAGCTATGACTTTCCATTAATTGTCAGTTAAATCTCCCTAATTTCCTTTACCTATCGGCTAGATTGTTTCAGTAGTCTTGGAAAATTATGAGAGGCAAAGCAAGGAATCTCAAGACCCCGGCGAGAGTAATGGCATGCTAGAGAATGACAAGGGTGAACTGAACATTTCAGTGTAATTTTTTTCGACAAGAATATATGGTGGATTTTGACTTTCTGTCTCTTTCAATGTACCATCAAAGTTTATTTTTCTTCACAGGGAGGATGCCAAGAACCCTTTCTTTTGGTCTAGGATTAGCCTATATATCATGGCTAGATTAGGCAATGAGGCTACAACAATGCGACGTGTTCTTGAATCTTTGTTCCGTTACTTTGATAATGAGAATTCATGGCCTATGGAATATGGAGTTGCGTTTCCAGTTTTGAAGGACATGCAGCACATAATGGATGATTCAGGTACTAAAATAACTCTTAACACTCTCAAAAATTTGCAATTTCATTGCAAGAAAATGCTGATGATGATCATCTCTTTGATTTCTTGATCGGTTGATTGATTTCTTTCGTTTTCTGCAGGAGAGAATACGCACTTTCTACTGTCAACATTGGTCAAGCATCTCGATCACAAAAATGTTTTAAAACAACTTGAAATTCAGCTTGACATTGTTAAGGTTGCAACCTCCCTCTCTCAGCATACAAAGATTCAGAATTCGGTGGCTTTAATTAGGTCAATAAGTGATGTTATGTGGCATTTACGTAAAAGTATGCATCGTTCTATCGATGATGCACATTTGGGAGCTGAGGTGATAGAGTGCAACAAAAATTTCCAAGAAGCAGTGGACGAGTGCCTTGTGGAGTTATGCAATAAGGTGCAACTCGTTCATTTTCTATTTAACCATAGAAAATATTATAATGTCGGGTTGAGCATATAACCATTAATGTGCAACCCAACTATCAGCTTAAACTTTTAGTTGAGATGGAGCACATGCTTCAATTTGGTATCAGAGCCAGACCAAAGGTCATGGGTTAGCTTAAGCTTTTAGTTGAGATGGAGCACATGCTTCAATTGGGTGTGTAGCCAATTTGGTAGGTATGTCATAGGTTATTGGCTGCTAACTACTAGTCCAATCTGAGAACATTAGAACAAAACGATAACGGAGAGATTGAAAAGTTGTCATTTTTATAGTTGTAGTTGGAATTTCTAAGTTGTTAGTTCACTTCTTTGATTGGCAGATAGGCGATGCGGGTCCAATACTTGATGTAATGGCCGTGATGTTGGAGAATATGTCGAGTATCACAATCGTAGCAAGAACTGTGATGGCTGCTGTCTATCGTACTGCACAAATAGTAGCTCCTCTTCCTAATTTGTCTTGTCAGAAAAAGGCAAGGGTTATAACTTATAATTCTAGAATTAGTTGAAAATATGTTTCTTTCTATTTTCTATCCAAATTATGAAGGTTGCCCGCCTTCTCATTTTTAGGCATTCCCCGAGGCTTTGTTTCATCAGTTAATACCAGCAATGGTGCATCCTGATCATGAAACACGGATTGGAGCTCACCAGATCTTCTCTGTTGTACTTGTTCCTTCTTCTGTTTGCCCCGATAAGGGCTCAGATGTGGCTATCGTGCAGAAAGGTGCAGGACTTCCAAGAACACTATCAAGAAACGTTTCTGTTTTCTCATCTTCAGCTGCACTTTTCGGGAAGCTTGGAAACCAGAGATTTCCAAGCGAGAATGTTAATCATGAGAATAAAGAGAAACCCTTTGCAGAAGAGGACGAGAGAAACAATAATAGTGGGATGCTGAATAGAATCAAGTCAACCTATAGTCGAGCATATAGCACGAAAGGTTCGCCTGCACCTACTGAAGAATCTACAGACAAACCAAGTAAAAGACCGGTATGTTCTTGCATTAATTTACCATATCAATATCTCTTTAAGAGAGCTTTTCTTAATCTAGTTTATTTGATCTCATTTTACTAGTCTGTAAATATGTTCGTTCTTTCAAGTTCAGGATGTCGGTTCTCTAAGGCTGACTAACCACCAAATCAGACTCCTACTTTCTTCAATTTGGGTTCAGTCAACTTCCCCTGAAAATCTACCCGCAAATTATGAAGCTATCGCACACACGTATAGCTTGGTTTTACTGTTCTCTTTAGCAAAGGTAATTGATTAATTAACAAACTTTGGAGTTTATCCATTGGATGTTTTAAGGACAATACATTTAATCTGATTGAGCTCGCATATTTAGTTCTGGACCCTGTCTAGGTATGACTAAGTTGATTTGAACTTCAAGAACTGCATGACTAGGTTTTATCTTTTCTAACATTTGAAATAATTTATTAGCTGTAAGGTGAATCCTTTGTTTTTTAATCGAATACTTTGAAACTATTATTACCGCTATGAGTTTAAACTTGTTGAATTTGGAAGATGGAATGGCCTGGCGGGTGGAGAATAACACCACCCGCCAGTTAGGCGGAAGCAATGATGAAAAATCAAGGAACATAGTACACACACACACACACACACACACATATATATATATATATATATATATATATATATGCACATAACTGTAAGTAACTACCCATAACTGACACCTATTCATAAATAGACACAACCCTATAAATAAACCTAACTCTTTATTTTTCAACAAAACTCTCCTCTGATTTTTTATTTTTTTTGAAAATTATCCGTGGCTGAACTCTTCTTTTTGTTTCCGTATCTTACTAGGCTGTTGCTTCATAAACTTGTGCAGAACTCTTATCGTGACGCTATGGTACTAAGTTTTCGGCTTGCATTTTCATTACGAAAAGTTCCTCTTGCTGAGGGAGGTGAATAAACTACCTCATATTTCCCTATACTGCTGACAGTTTTCGATTCTTGAAGAATTTTTAATCTTTCGAACAATAAAGAATCATTGAACAGATGCTTCTAAGCCAATTATGAATGATGATTCTTCAGCCTAGTTTTCGTTTGTTTTCAGGGGCACTGCCACCGTCACGTAGACGTTCCCTTTTTGTCTTGGCGACATCTATGATTATTTTTGCTGCAAACGCTTACAATATCCCTTCTCTAATTGCACGCGCCAAAGCAATGCTTGGAGATAAAACGGTGAGTAAAATGCTGCTGTCATGCTGTATTTGCATTTTCTTTGTTGAAAAATAAAGAATTAGGTTTATCTATAGGGTTGTGTCTGTTTATGAATAGGTGTTAGGTTATGGGTAGTTACTTACAGTTATGTGTTTGAATATATATATGTACTATGTTTCTTTGTTAGAAACACAGATCATACTAATATATTTCAGTCTTATAAACATTTTATATTCTTTGATTCTTCATCATTGCTTCCGTCTAACTGGCGGGTGGTGTTATTCTCCACCCGCCAGACCATCCATCTTCCAAATTCAACATTCTTAACCACGTTACTTTGTATCCATATTAGCTTGCGAGAATGACACAAAAGGCTATTTTATGATGCATTCTTTATTTCTTTAATTCAAGATTATAAAGCGATTCGTTTTTCTGCCAGGGTGATCCTTATTTGCGTTTGGTTGATGATAGCAAGTTACAAGCAGTTGAAACGGGATCTGGTTCGGGGAAAGTTACGTATGGATCCAAAGAGGATGATGATTCAGCTTTGATGTGTCTTTCGCAAATAGAAATAAAAAACGAGCAGTCTACAGCCTCTTTGGTTTCTATAATAATGGAGAGTTTGGATAATCTGTCAAATGTAAGTTCCACCTTTGATGTTTTAACAATGGAATCCCATGTTTAGTGTGTTCATAACGGAACTTAACCCGAGACTTTTTGGATAGACCGAAGTGTCCACTATAATAAGGAAGGCGTTGTTAAAAGACTTTTCCCCCGAAGATCTGAGTTTGGTTGAAGCTCGGTTGTTCAAAGATGCCAAACAGAGTTATGAGCAATCTGGTTCAAATGACAACAAATCTATGGAGGAACCTCTTTTTCCAATAGACGATGATGTTTTGGATTCGATTGAAAGTGTGGCAATAGAAATTCCCGATCTGCTTAATGTTAATCAAATTCTAGAATCTGTAAGTCTGATTGCAGTACTGAAATAGCGAGTCTTGCAATGGATAGATAATAACCTGATATGCCTTTCGTGAGCAGGTTTTGGAGACGGCTGGACAAGTCGGGGGAGCCTCTGTCAATTTACAACCCGATTTTTCTTTCAACGAGATGGCAAATCATTGCGAGGCACGTCTTGCTGGAAAGAAACGGAAGATGATAAACCTGATTAGTATCCAGCAAAGACAAGAAAGTGACAAAGCAAAAGGAGCTTCAGAAGCCCAGGTTGATAATGGTTTTCGGTTTTCCCACTAGTCCTTTTCGATATCCATGCATCCTTCTTCTAGTTTTCTGCTCGTCATAACCAACCGTTTGCTGAAATGTATGGAAACTGCAGGGCGAAAACTGGTTCCTGGCGCAGAATCTTCCCGTGCAGTGTGCTGCAGAATGCCAGCAACCTCCAGATTCCCTTATGCTTCCTGCACTGAGACCATTCGATACTTTTCTGAGAGCAGCGGGATGCTGAGACGAGATTTTTTGAGATTCTGCAGATCTTCACGCAATATTTGAGGTTCATAAACGTCGAGTTTTACACTTTTTGGGGGAGAGGTTATCGCTTGTACAGATGGGATTTGTTGAGTTCTTTTGGTGCTTGCCAGTCAAGTTCTTGCAACACTCATACCAGATACACAGGGGAGGCATATATGCTGCAGATTTTACCTCACAGAAACATAAATAGTTTAGCCAGATATGAGGTTTTTACTTATCCTAATTCCTAAACTATATAAGTTAACTAACCCTTTCTTTTCCCTAAAATCTCAGGTTCAATGCATGTAATTTCTTCATTAAATTAATGACACTGACAGCAGTAATTTGGAAGAAAACTAGCCTTGTTTTTTTTTTTTTTTTTTTTTTTTCCTTCTTATTATGAAAAAGTCCACAATCACTACTTGAATGTGCACTTTGGATGAAATTCACCGTAGCTGGCAAAGAACTTAAACCAGAAGGTCAATAAGTAACTCTTACAAGTAGGGTCAAATTTGAAATTTTTTGATTACCAAATTAATTATACAATTAACTTGATTAAAGTTGCTCACTAATTTTTGTTTTTTACATGACAAGAATTTGTAATACTCCATATTCATCGAATACTAATGAATACTAATGTGGGGTTCAAATCACATTGAAAATATGGATTAAAAAAATAATAAAAATATTAATGGCATGTTTGGTTCATGGAATAGGTCAGGAATTGAATAACATTCCTTGGAATAGACCTATTCCATCGTTTGGTTGGATCATTTTGTCATGGGAATAACATGCCTAGAAATGAGCTATTACCTCCGCAAAGGGAATAACCATTCCTAGGGGGGCCTTGGTATTAACTATTCCCATGCCCTTGGGAATAGCTTTTATATCACAAATACCAAAAATACCCTTTGCACATTATATAATATTTATATTTATTTAATAAATATAATATATTATATAAATGTATATATTTAATTAATTATAATTTTTATCCATCAATCTATCAAAATATATATATATATATATATATATATATATATATATATATATATAAATTAACTGTATAACACTCCTTAATTATGGAGCCTTGGTTCTTAAATTAAGTAGCCTGCTCATCTGCAATTTGCATGCCTAGTGGACGGGCATTGCAAGCTTGCCTAGCAGATGAGTATTGCAATTGAACATATGGAACTTTGAGACTCCTTTTATAAGAGGCTCAAGGCTACATTCCTTACTTCTTCAACCGATGTGGGATAAGTGGGAAAATAAATATAAATATAAATATGTATTTGTATAATAATAATAATAATAATAATAATAATAATAATAATAATTATTATTATTATTATTATTATTATTATTATTATTATTATTATTATTATTATTCTCCCTCTCTCTCACACATGCATATACATGTATATAAATATAAATATAAATAAATAAATAAATAAATAAATAAATATATATATATATATATATATATATATATATATATATATATATATATAAATATATATATATATATACAACATTCAGTATTTATGTCTTTAAAACTTATTCCATTTCTATTCCTTTTAACCAACCAAACAGTGGAATACAATTACTAAAGTCTATTCCTTCAGCCAACAAAATAACATAATACAATTCATATTCTATTCCTTACCTATTCCATTCCTTGTGGAATAACATTCTTATTGAGTAAATACCAGCGGAGGTCCTCTGACTTTGGTGGCACTGCCACTTTTAGTCCTCAACTTTTAAATTAATCACTTTTAGTCCTCTTACTTTTTGTTTCTAGCCATATATGGTCCTTTCGTTAAACTTGACCCTCTAATGCCGTTTTCTAAAAGATAATTAAGTCATTTCATAATTAATTTATTAATTATTGTGTTTAATTTTCTCATCAGAATAATGGTTTCCCAGCTATGAACGTGTACAAAACCAGCTCGTGAATCAAAATGGCGTACAAAAGCTGGTACGAAAGTTGTGCCAAAACGACGTCGGGATATCTCGGTATGACTCGGCAAACATAATAATTAATAAATTAATTATGAAAGGACTGAATTATCCTTGAGAAAACGGCATTAGATGGTCAAGTTTAACGGAAGGACCATAGATGGCTAGAAACAAAAGGTAAGAGGACTAAGAGTGGTTGATTTAAAAGTTGAGGACTAAAAGTGGCAGTGCCACCAAAGTCAGAGGACCTCCGTTGGTATTTACTCCATTCTTATTCTTTCCAAATTCATTCTGTGAACCAAACGTGCTGTAAAGGTTTGAATTGGATTCTACGTATATAATACTGGTTACGCAATTCGCAATTTATTTTGTAGTGACCCTAGAGGTGGGGTCCAGTGGCCTGAGCATTTAAGATTAGGGGTGTTCAATCGGTTAACCGTTCGGTTAACCGAACCGTTTTAACCGAACCAAATTAATCGAAGTTTTTTTTTTTTAACCGTTAACCGAACCGAAGTTTGCTCTACCGAATTCACCGAACCGAAATTTTTTTCGATTAATCGGTCGGTTAACCGATTAACTGAACTTTTTAAAGCTAAAATTTAAAATTCTAAAAATAACACCTAAAATAATAAATCTAATTAAAATAAAATACATATCATAATAAATTCATAACAAAATATACAAAAACATTAATTAGAAACTCCAAACATCCATAACTTCAAATTAGTATTTATATTTATATTATTATTTATATATATATTAAAAACTTCGGTTAACCGTTCGGTTAATTCGATTAACCGACCTTTCGAACCGAATTAACCGTTAACCGAAGTTTTAAAATTCCTTTAACCATTAACCGAACCGAAAAAGTTCGATTCGAAAACGGTTAACCGAACTTTGTCGGTTCGGTCGGTTAACCGAAAATTATCCGAAGTTTGCACACCCCTATTTAAGATTAGTTTTTAAAAAAATAATAATAATAATTTTATAAAAAAAAAATTGTTGCGGAGGTAGCCGGGTTTGACTGGGTCCAAATTAAAACCAAAACGGACACGTGCACATGTTAACCTTCTGGAACGCCGTTTTATTCAAACAACCTCTCCTGGCCTTTCGCTTTCTCGTCTTCTAGAACTTGAATTACCGCATTGGCGCTCACCCATCATCATCATCATTGTTCTGATTGTTTGGAGTCGTCTAGCATATTAAGTCGCTCCCGCTCTCTCTTTCTGCAGTTCATCGCTGTAAGTTTTCTCTCTCTCTATCAATGTGTATATATAAATATTAATTGTAATGTTTATGTTCGAGTTTTAAGATCAATTGTTTGAAATATTACATTGGATCGCATGATGCCGCATTGTAGTCTCTGTGGTTTGAATAGTTGTTACGATGCTTTTACACATTATGATCCAGGTTGAAAATTGAAACGAGTGTGAGGTCTGTTGGATGTGCGAATACTAAGGATTTTTTTTTCTTTTTCTTTTTGATGATATTTGTTGGTCTGGCTTGATGTGTGCGCACGAGACCAAAGGTTCAAAATTTTATATTTGCTGGATTTGATTGCAGTGTATGAGCTTGTATTTTCTAGCATGAATTGTGTGTAGAAAGCAATGGATTCTGGCTTCCTAGGTGGTAACTTAGATGTAACCTATCCTTTGCAGAAGATGATCATTTCCTATATTTCACAAAAATGCCATGGATTGATCAGAATGAAATGAATCAATTAAACAATATTATGGGGTATGTATCTGCTAGGGTATGTCTTATTGATCAGGGTGAGATGTAAATGTATGTATTGCAAGTCTAATACTGGGTGTCCTGTACTTTTGTATCTTTCTAAATTTGTTTAGGCATGATTCATGAATATCATCGTAGTCATGATTATCAGAATTCCACAAAATTGTAGTGGTTCGCTGCATGTTCCCCAATAGGTGATATCTAATTTTGGAATTGCAACACATAGTAGGAAGTATTGGGATAAGTGACGGTTAGGTATGAGGATATGAACATTCTGGTCTGTTGGTGATCTTATTCAGTGGACTTTGGACATGGGGGCATATAAAACAGTTTCATATTTGTCATATGAGTAGTCTGGGTCATTGTGCAACAACTCTTCTAGAGAATAGAGATGGATACTCCATTGTTTCTCTAGTGTTTCATCCACTACACTGGCTGTCATGGAAATCTGCTATACTTGACTAAAGCTAATTTATTATACTTAAACAGTGTGGTTTCCTACTGATAGTGGGTTTTTTCTTTCAGTTGTTGGATTCAGCATGACTGCCCCTAAAATTATTTCTGCTCTTTTGGGATCATTTGCAATTGCCTATGTTTGTGATCAGGTTGTTTCTGACCAGAAGATTTTTGGAGGCAAGCTCTGATTCTTTACTGTGGTTCCTTTGTTTTATTTTTATAGTGTGTGGTATTGTATAACAGTAAATGCCATTTGAAATCAGGTACGACCCCAAAAACTATTGCAAACAACGATTGGTGGGAAGAAACCGACAAGAAGTTTCAGGCATGGCCTCGCACTGCAGGTCCCCCGGTTGTTATGAATCCCATCAGCCGCCAAAATTTCATTGTTAAGTCTGAATGATGGTCGATCTAGTTGCAATGCTGCCATCTCCAGTTTGAATGCATAAGATGGCGTTTGTGTTTCAAGCAATGATAAATACACAATTTTTGGATTGGATTCACATGACGTTCTTAATTCAACTTCACTTCAATGAACACAGTTCAGGAGTAATTTAAATAAATTTTGCAGTTTTGTATGGAGCTCTTTCTTTCAATTCTTTGTACTGAGTTGCCTATGGCGACCAAATTTTTTATGGAAATGGAATTTTGTATTTTAAGAAGCCTTCTTCCATTTTGGAGTCTAATTCTTTTACCTATTTACATTTCCCGTCAGGTAAGATTAATCTGATTGAATCTTGATTGGACTCTATTCTAGTAACTACCTTCTAATTGAATCTCGATTTGCCTCCATTCAAAGCAACATTTTAAAGAGTGGTGTTGTATGCATGTGGGTTTGAACTTCTGACTTTATTTTGCTTGTATTCTATAGTATTTTGGCTGTTTTTTTTTTTTTCAAGATTCAAGAAAATCATGTTCTCCATTGCTAATCAAGTAGTAATTCAAGACAGGGCGGCAAATAGATTATCATAATAACAGGAGAAAAGCTTAAACCCTGACATGTACAGATTTTCATCAGCATTTGCTTCTTCTCACCTGAGACTGAGCAAATTTTGTGACCACCAATGGAGATTCAAAAATCCCCAGGATTGAGATCAAGAATAGCAGAGATGATGATGATAAAAGACTGGTTCAATTCTCTGTAATTTCTCTAAGCATTTCAATAACCTTCTTCATCTTGGGCCGTTTAGCCGGTGTGGTGTCTGTGCAGATCAATGCAACTTTCAAAGCTGCAAGCATTTCTTTCCTCCAAGCAAACGAAACAGTGCTCAGTCTAGCATCAAGTATCTGCTCAGGTGTTTCCCCTCTTGCAGGTGCACCATGGACCCACTTCACCAAATCTATTCCTTCGCCAAACGCTTCATCCACAGGCAGTCTGGCTGTGAGGATCTCGAGCAAGACAACCCCGAAGCTGTAAACATTTCCTGGAGCTGTCACTTGCATTGTGTATGCATATTCTGTCCATAAACAGAAACCATTCAGGTATGTGTAACATAAATACGGTTAAGAACTGATTAGCTAAGCATTTGAAGCAGGTAAGCAGTAAGTACCTGGGGGAATATAACCAAATGATCCAGCAACAGCACTGATGCTTGCAGTTCCTCTGGATGGGTCAAGAAGCCTAGATATTTCGACTTCACCAACTAAGGGCCGGAAGTTGGAATCCACAAGTACATTTCCCGAAGAAATATCCAGGTGAATAATGGCAACGTGATGAAGGAAAGCCAACCCTTCAGCCACGCCAATGGCAATAGAGAGTCTTGTTGGCCAGTCAGGTTTGAATTCGGGTTTCTTTGCAGATTCATGAAGAAACTGTGCCAACGTCCCATTGGGGTAGTATTGATGTAGGAGAAGGACAGTGTCTTCATAGATGGCAAACCCGATAGGCCTCATCAGATTGTCGTGACAGAGCTTGCTTAGCTTTTCGAGCTCTCTGATCATCTTGCTTTGGTGTTGGACAATCGTTTTGTCCATTGATTTTAGCCTCTTAACGGACAAAACCAACCCAGAAGGCATGTCCGCTCTGTACACAGTGCTGAATGTGCCAATGCTAAGCTTGTTTGAATCTTTCAAGGCTGCTTTAACAACTGCATCAAAATCTATTGCTTGCCTGAGATTTTCAACAAAAACATTTCCAGCAATTATCACTGGATTGCAGATTTCATCGGTGGTGGTTCCCTCGGATTTGGCAGCCTTTTCTTCTTTCTCCCTCAACATAAACAGCAAAACGACTACAGTCACAGATATGAAAACCGCCAATCCAGAACCAATAACAGCCAAAATGATTCGGTATGAAACCTTGTGATGGTAACCACGGCCATAATCATCCAGGTTTCCACAGGCATTGCTCAAAGGGTCACCACAGAGCCCTTTGTTTCCACTAAAGCTTGTATTCAAGCTTTTCTGGAATGGCACAAAAAGAGGTATTTGGCCAGTAAATTGGTTGTTCGAGAAATTAACCTCGATCAAACTTAGCATGCCCTTCAGGTCTGGTGGAATGCTCCCCGACAGCTGATTGTTAGAGACATCCAAAGAAACCAACTTGTCAAGTTTTCCCAACTCTTGGGGCAACTGCCCATGGAGATGATTGTAGCTCAGATTCAACGCAATCTGCAAGTTCTTCATATGACCTATCTCAGCCGGGATGCTTCCAGTAAGGTAATTTCTTCCCATTTGCAACTCGAGCAACTTCATGCAGTTCCCAATCTCGTGAGGTATCTCGCCTCTTATTGAATTCTGACCCAGCAGTAGATATTGCAATCTGGAAGTCTTGCAGATATCTTGCGGTATGGTGCCATTGAATCTGTTGTTGCTTAAATCCAGCTTATTCAGATTCTTCGCCCCAAGCACCGATGTTGGAATTTCACCATAAAGGCTATTGCCAGAAACGATCAACTCCTGCAGATTGGTAAGGTTCCCGAACTCTGGAGGAATAGTCCCGGTAAATCCATTCGAGGCCAAATTGAGGAGAGTGAGATTACTGCACTGTGCAAATTCTGGTGCAATCTCCCCTGAGAGATTGTTATTATCCACTTCAAAGTAAGTAAGGCTGCTGATATTACCAATTGTTCTGGGAATGGATCCTATAAGCCTGTTATTCCCAATTCGAATACTCGAAAGGCCTTTACATCTACCAATCGATTCGGGAATATAGCCAATCAACTGATTCTGGGTGAGAACCAAAACCTCAAGCTTCTCCATTGCAAAAAGGCTCTCTGGGATTATCCCTTGAAGCAGGTTTGAGTGAAGATTCAGAGACCTAAGCCAGGAATTCAATCCTAAATTTGCAGGTATGGAGCCAATAAACTCATTCTCATAGGCTGCAAACACTCTCAGATTGGTCAGATTTCCCACCCACATGGGTATAGAGCCATTCAACCTATTGGTATATATCTGAAAATCCTGCAGCCTCTCTAGTCCCCCAAGTTCATCAGGTATGGTTCCTGAGACCAAATTGTTTGACACATTCAAAGCTCTAAGGTTTCTTAGCCTACCCAGTTCTCCAGGAATAGAACCCCCAAACTTATTAAAAGACAAATCAAGAAACTCAAGCTCAGATAAGTTGCCAAGAACAGGTGGGATTGATCCCAGGAAATTATTCCCAGAAAGGTCAAGCCACTTCAGTGCTTTGAGCTCAGATATTAACCCCACATTACCTTGTAGCCTTAGGCCAGAAAGATCAAGCCTTTCCACCATTGATAGGTTTGAGCTGCATCCAATCCCATGCCAAGAACAGAAATCTGAGGTGTTTGAGCCCCACCCTGATACCCCTAGCTCTTTTCCAATGGCTACCAGTATAGTCTGTTCTTGCACAGCTTCACCACTTGTCACCAACCCCACTACCAAAACACTCAACAAGCTCAAAAATCCCATTTTTAGGTCACTTTCAAGAACCCTCACTCTTCTCATATTTCTTCTCCTCCTCCCCAAATTCCCCCAAATAGAAACACCCAAAGGTACATAAATCAAGAATGTGCAAGACCACCCAATTTTCTTCTCTTCCTTCTTCAACAGAAACAAGGAAAATGGACCAGAGACCAAAAAGACACTTTTTTTGGGGGCAATGGATATTCAAGAACAATGTGAGATTTGGGGGTTACAAAATAAAGAAATATCTGAGTAGTAACCGATAGAATGATGAAAAAGAGTGGTACCGAGAGCGCCAAAAACAAAACACTAGCAAAGAGAAACCAACCCAGAAAACCCGGTGCAGAGATTAAGGATAAAACGGATTATGATAACATGAAGATGAGCAGAAGCACGAGTGCATGACCATGAACAGGAAGTTCTGCAGAGAAAAAAAAAATCTAAAACAATAATTTAATGTTGCAGGGGAAAAAGAACAATGGAATGTAGCAGTTTCTTGGAACAAACATGAGTGACGAAACAAGGGGGGAGGGGAAATGGGTACAATGTTGTTGTTTGGGCAAACTGCTTTCACGGGTCAGGTGTTTTCCCTCTCTGTCCTAGAGCGAGAAAGAGAATGAGAGAGAGAAAGAGAGGGGATAATGGTAGTACACGCTACTGCTACTCATTCATGGATATATGATGTTGTAGAGATACGGTAGTGGCAGTAGGCAGAATCACTCTCTCTCTCTCTCTCTCTCTCTCTCTCTCTCTCTCTCTTTCTCTCTCACTCAATAACGTAGTGTCACGAGAAATGGGCAGTCATGAGTCAATGAAACTGTACGGGTCAGACTGTTGTTGCCTACGTGCCTGGGCCACACCTCCATTTCAATTATACTGAACCAAACGGCTGGTAGTTGATAACTGATCGAATTAGATGATAGTTAATAATTGATTGAGTTAGTTGGTTTGACCAACTGATTGTATTAGCTGATTATAAAAAAATGTTTGATAAATTAGCTGATTACTATTAGCTTATTGCATGTGAGGCTGATTCAGTTGATTCGATCACATCCTTTCACGATTATATTTTTTATCAAATAACGTAGAATGAGGTTGACTCTGATACTAAATTGAAATATCTATTATATAACTGTAGCCAACATTAATAGATTGAACACCAATTTTGTTGAAGTTTGCATCTTCACATCTTCTGCACAATACATTCAATCATGCACTACACTATTTTCACTCTTTTATTTTTTAACTTGTCAATGGCATTAAACAAGACAGTACAAAAATAGTTGTAATTAACATCTTTCACATCGTCCGACAAGACAATACACGACCTTTGCATTTGATACATATAAACTAATATATTCTCTTAATATTCAATAAATTTTTATCATGTATCATAATTTGATTCATAAAATAGGCATAATACTAAAAATTGTGATACGCTTTTTGTTTAGATGAATTAAAGCATGCCGTGTAACTGAGGAATAAAAACTAAGTATACACGTAGTATTACTCATTCTCATATTAATGACACAAACCATTAGTTATATTATTTGAAAAAAAAAACAAAAAAAAAAAAAAAGAGAACAATATATATATATATATATATATATATATATATATATATATATATATATATATATATATATATATATATATATGAGAAAGTCTATTGTGTTGTTAAGTATCAATGTGTCTTATATTGAATATTAGTTAAAAGTTTTTTAGGAGACTTTAGTTTGATACTTGATAGGCTGATATAAACTCACAACTTCTCTTATTCATTTTTTAATTGTATCATGCACAAGAGATATCGGTATTTCAACAATTCTCTCCAACCTTTTCTATCTATCTTTAGCATTCTACCGATATCAAGTCATGGACAGATTTCTTCAGCACTTTTTCAGACACCTTAAAAATTTTCTACTAAAATAGTTGTGATTAACATTTTCTTTCACCTCAAATAGTGAAATATATTATTTTCTATATATGTAGCCTATTAAGAAGAAGAAGAAGATAATAATAATAATAATAATAATAATAATAATAATAATAATAATAATAATAATAATAATAATAATAATAATAATAATAATAATAATAATAATAATAATAATAATGCTTTTCGTTCGTTCAGTTTCAAAAAAAAATAATAATAATAATAATAATATTATTATTATTATTATTATTATTATTATTATTATTATTATTATTATTATTATTATTATTATTATTATAGTGAAAAAGGTTGTTGTCGTAATACGAGGTGAGAAAGCAGTATATTTTAGTGCATGATAAACAATATTATTGTTCACATAGCTACCATTATTTTATTTAATTAACAAGATTCTCCACATAAGCTACCATTATTTTATCTTCTTTCTCTTCTTCTTCTTTTTTTTTTTTTTTTGGGCGTTGAATCTAATATATCATCTCATTCAAGCTAAAGTAAATTATTGGACCACCTCAGGTGAGATTATTTATTATTTAAAAAAAAAAACAAATTGTACAATCAAAAGCTTTTTTTTATTATAACTATTAAAAATCTGCAATTACTATCCAGCGGTATATATTGAGTGCCGATCATATTGAATACAAACATATAGATTGTATTAACTTAATATATTAAATTATATTATATATTATTGTATTTGATAGAAAATATGATTTATTAGAAAGTTATTCCATATTCTAAAATTATAAAAAGTAAATTTCAATATAATGATATGTATGAGATAAACGTTACTCATATGTAATAGTTCATTGAAAAAATGTTGATAAAAATTAATTTCTTAATTTTTTTAATGTAAAAATTATGATAATTTGCTTGGCCACTCGGACCATATATTTATTTATTTTAATGGGGAAAAAGTGAAGACAGAGAAATAAATATAGTGTTTAAAAAAAAAAAAAAAATATATAGGAGTAGAATGTTAAATTGAGAGAGCAGTCCCACTGTCCCAGCAATAGCAGTTGACAGCTCATAGGAATTTGCAATAATTGGTGAAGTAGATTGTTCATTTGTTCCCTAACTGCAGCAGTTGGCCTGCTCCGCTGGGTTGTACTGTACAACACCTTTTACCCTATGCTATGGTTGTCACATTAGTGTTTAGTAAATAGTTACTCCGTATTAGTTAATTGAGTTAGTAAATTTGACTAATTGATCGCAGAAAAATATTTGATAAATTAGTACCTGATAGATAATTACATTCAAAATGATCGACTTTCTCAAAAAATTGATCAAAAAGGTAATTAATTGAACACTCATATTAGTTACGGAATATTTAATTAACTAAGTTAAATAACGAATAACGATCAAATAAGTTAAAATTGAGTAATAAACTGATCATGTTACCACTTGCCAAGCATGACCTATATGTCACTGTCCTTTTTATTTTCTTTTTTCCCATAGTGAAGAAATAAAAATAAAGATTTTAAAAAACACTTGGAAAAGCACATTTTGTCTTCTAATTGTTCTTTAATTTCCTTGTCAGGTTATCCTAACCCTACAAGTCCACTAAAAGAATGGTCTATTTTGATTTTATTTTCATGCACACCATACAAGCTCAATATTCAACTCACCAAATTTTTAAGGGGTGATCATATCGCACTCACATAATTTGTCATCAATTGTAGTCTAATGTTGTTCGAGGAATATAATTCTTAAAAATTTGTATTTTCAGACTTCTCTTGATAATAAATTGACAACACTATATAGTCATCAGCACACTAATTAACTTCTTTATGATGAGAATCAACCTATGATTTTCTTATAATATACTGACGAGCTAAGATACTGTACAGTCATTTTGAAATATAGATATATATAACTTTAAATTATAATATTCAATGCAATGTATAAAGATAGTATAGAGGGTAGGATCAAGGTTGTTACTTTGTGGATGATTGAAGAGGTTGTGAACATGTCCCTCCAACCTAAACAAGCCAAACACTAAAAGAGATGATGATGAGAGAGGTATAGTAAGATGAAATGAATTATTTTTCATGAGGTGTATGTATGGAGCCACAACACACCTAATGAGGAATGACCAAAGGTTGTCGCATGCATATAGTTATGGGCAAAAGGATGTAGCATCACTTAGACAAGTAGGACCATAACATGTCTATGTCATGGTAATGGCCAAACCCCTCTACCTCTTTAATAATGATTCCTACTCTATATAGGATTGGGAAATATGAAAACCTAGCTAAGTCCTCACCTCCATGCATTTAAACTTTAATTTCTTCATTTCTAATAAGTATTCATCATGCTAGCTAGTAAGTATTTGTACGTGTCATGTACGTAACTAGTTTAGTTGATAGATAGTCACTGATATAGTGATACGTGCTAGTATTCATGTTATTTGTGTATATATTAGAAAAAATAATTTTTTTTTAAATATAATTTTACATCAACTTTAATCATGTTTGATGTGACGACTAACAGTTTATTTATAAAGTGATTATTTTTATTTTTTGACTAGTCAAACAGAGATGTGTACTTAAACTTCACTATTATCTTCTCATACCACTCAACCTTTTCCTTTGCACGCAATATGAAATATGCATTACAACAATATGAAGACAATTAACTCAGTGGAGGCGTTATTTGTTCTTTGTGTTTCAGTAAGTTGAGAAAGTATATGAACAGATACTACAATGTAATAGAGCCAGTAACTTTCAAAAAACTCTTTGATGAATGTACTAAAAGGGATATATATTAAAGAAAGAAAAAAGAAGAATTGAAGAAGCTAAGATTATTAGAGCACGCATCCATTTAGCTTCTTTTTTTTTTTTTAAGAGTTTTTTTTAGGTTTTTTTTTTTTTTTCATCTTTAGAGTTTGAGGAGAGATGAGAGAGGAATTAAAGATAGAGTTATTATGTTAACATTGAGTTTTTTGTTAGGGAAAAAAAATTATTAAGGAAGCATATCGTGTACCCAGCGAGCTGAGCGTAACGACTACTCAACTTTTCAATATAATTTTCTAACTCTCCCTCCCCCACCCCTCTCATCGTGGTATGAAAAAAAACTGGCAAAATATTCCAAATTGAGTTATACTAACATTATTGTTGCTCTTAGTATTATTAGTAGTGCAAACGTAAAAGAAAAGATAAATACATAAAGTAATTATGATCACATTCCCTCCTCTTCCAAAATCATCTTGCCTTTTGGTTATAAAGGCAAAGACAACATCAAAATATGCCCTTTACTTCTGTTTCTAATGATGAAATGAATGGCAAACAAAAGTGTATGAGGATATTCTAACTCCACAATCAATATAAATAAATAAATAAACATATATATATATATATATATATATATATATATATATATATATATATATATATATATATATATATATAAAATCAAAAGAAAGAGGCATAATTTCAGATTATTCCCTGTCTGCACCTACTTTTAAATCTTCTTTTATCTATTGTTTCATCATAACTTTTAATGTAATCATCACCTCATTTCTTACCTTTTTAAAATAAAAAAGCACAAAGCTATTTGTATTGGGTTTAATTTGCTGTATTTAGACTTTATAGCATCTAGTGATATTTATTCGATTAATTCATAGATAAATAATTAATATGAACAAAACAAAATTTGTCAATTACTCATCGATGGTTAAAAATGCTGACGGCTAATGAATAGAAAATTAGCGTTGAAAATTTTTCAATTACTGGCAAAAGTAGTCCGTATTATCAATCACTTT